AAGTTATTATATCAATAAATCGAAAAGATTTCCAAATCCTTCTCCAAAGTGATCATAGTTTCCTTTTTTAGTATCATTTGTGTACGGACTAGTCACCATGAGAGTGATCCTGAGGTTGGCGTAAATTATTGTGTAAGATATATGTCAGTGGATAAAAATTATAAAGCGTTATTGACTGAGTTGGATAGAAAATATGCTACGAACGCCGATCCACACCCTCCCCTCTCGCCTTACCTCAACACTTAGTGTCAAGTGTTGTAGAATTAGGTTGAAAATACCTCACATTGACTAAACTTTGAAATAGCAACTATCCACCAAGTTTTTAGCTGTTGGTCTAAGCAGTGTAGAGGAGTTTAGGTTGGCTGATTCGAGTCCATAAGATAACCGAAACAGATGACTTGAGATATTCAGAATTAATCTCAGCGACAGAGATACATTCACACTTCTCTCTTTATATCATGACCTTTTTACCATTGGCGATAATATGATTTTCGTTTCCTTGTAACTATTCCTTTAAAAGGAGGCAAGTACCAATTTATTGTTGCCCTCTTATCCTTCCGAAAATACTTTCTATACATTTTTTTTGTTATTTCGTGCTCATTCATCTCCACACTTATATTGATTAGCGTTTCATTATTACTGTATTTGTTATCATTTCGACTATCTGAGATAGCCATGGTTTGGCAGACTAGTATTGACATTGGATAATAATTGAAAGTGAAATGAAAATTTAAACCGCGGCCGGATTCGGACCAGCAACCACGGGGTTTCCCGCCCGGTTCTCGACCAACTGACCTACGAGGCCCTACTACTAACCAGATGTCTATTTCACCATCCAGTATCAGTACTAGTCTGCCTAACTACGGCGAGCTTAGATAATCAAAATGATAATAAGAATGATGATTTTTGAGATGAATGGGGACTTTAATTTAGAAGTAGTATTCATCACGGACTGATATCAGTTGGGGAACCACTGAAAACCTGGGAGCACTGAACAGCTAGAGATCGAACTCAGGACTTTCAGGTTTCACGGCGAACACGTTAAACATTCAGCCACTGAGTCGGAGGCGGATAAAGATTGTTTATTAAAAATTATATTCTCACTGAATTATCAAGAAAAAAACTTTTTTCATGGATGTAGTTAATTAAATATGTACTCTGAAGTGACATACTCTTAGTTGATTATTTAGTTCTGTGTATAGATATTAAACGCTACATAATGAAAATTTCTGTAGTAATTTTTAAGTTTGCATTGGAAGGTTTAGATTATGGTTACGCTTTGCTACCGCGGGACCAGAGGAACCAGTAGCTAGAGACTCTGGATTATATGGCTGAGAACCGATGTCAGTGGCGCAGATGTATACATACATTATCCTCACCTTAACGCTATACCGAATCTCACCATTTCCTCATTCTTCCTTTCTTTCTTTTCGTACTTTATATTTCTTTTGACTGGATTTTCTTATCTTCATCTTGCACCTCACTGCCTTTCTACTTAATGTACTGATATAAGCTGTGGTAACTCGGAGTGTTACGCAGTAATACCTGGTCCTATGTTGATATTGATGATGATGATGATTACGCTTTGCTAACTGATGATGAATATTATTGATGAACATGAAATCTGAGTAAACTAAAATTCTCTTGCAAATGTATTTTAATCCTGTAACTCGTTTCAGTGGTTGAAGTTTACTCCTTCACATATATCATGTTGTCCAGTTGTTAGATAAAGATAATCAAACTTTATCGAGAACATCTCCAAGGATGTCAGTAATCTAAGTGACTATGTACTATTGTAGTAGGCGCTGCTGATCGGAATAGATATAAGTAGTATATGTTGAGAGGGTGGCAGAAATCATAGGCAATTACCAGCAATGGGTAAATATTCTGCTCAGCGAATCGCAAGAGACAATGTTAGCGGGTTAGGAGAAAATCGAGATAGAAGAAAAAGATGAAGTGAAGCACGTTGTCCGAATGACTGTTTCAGTGGAAAGTGTATAATATTTGATGACTACTGTACAAGATGTCAATAACAAACATTCCTTCCTTCGACTCAGTCTTCTCGTTTTCTACACTATGATGAATTATGTATCATACGGAGTTATTAGAGGCGATTGATAGTAAACTCTTTTTTATGTATTTCTCATGCTTCTTTCCACTCATTGGCAAGTTTTTATCTTCCGCCTGTTAGAAAACAGTGTTGACTCATGGATTTAAACACCATCCATCACTATGCTCAGAAAAGTCGACAGTCATCCGTTTTATCATCATTTTCTGCTCTCATTTTCTTGACATGTTCTAGAGTTATAACTCACGCCATAAAACTGCAATGAAATCCTACTAGAAGGAAGTCAGCAAACTATTTTATTCAGTTTTAGTATGTTCATTAGAATTGTCACATAACGAAATAGTACTATTTACTGGATAAGGTTTTTGACATAATTTATTGTCCATATTCATATTAGGTAACTCCACAACTTTGAGTCATAGTTTATATAGTTCTAATCTTCTCTCCTTCTTTGCGGTAAGAATAGCGGTATTTTCCACATATATGGGACAAGTGTAGAACTGTTCCTATCGCGTGTATTTCATGTTGATTCGATAAACAAAAATTTAGGTATTAACTCTCCCGCAACCCAACTAAGTTATGTTTTAATACTGTCGCTATATCCCACCCGTTTATGTGATCGTACGGAATAGCGTGCATATCTATAGTCGAACTTTTCTCTTAATTTCTCATCTTCTTAGGATCTCATAATCGTGATTTAGTTAAGTTTTTGTGCTCCATTATTCTAATTGACCCTGGTCGACTACTCTGACCTTGCAATCATTGCAAAAGATTTGGTACATCAAATTATTTTGCTTAATTGAACCAATAGGATTTTTTGACGCACAAAGCTTGTTTCTAAGCAAGTTTGTTGGTTTAAATGCGACTCTAATTCCAGCCAGCGTTATTGAGAATTCTACGTAACGCTTCTGTGGTGCCTTCTTTGTATGGTAATACAGTGGAGACTTTGAATTATCTCTCAATCCTATGACCATTATTTTTATGATTAGTAGAGTTATTATTAATTACATATGTGTCACTACTACTGCTAATATTTTTTTTCGATTTCTTATGGATTTATTTATAGATTTTGGTGGGTAATTATTGAGACGCAAGGTATTCTTGACATGTCTAATATCTTGCTGAAGAATTTCTGTCCTCCTAGTAAGGTATTTTACTCCATCACTTAGGCATTTAATTCGGCTTACTTTAACTGAGATGGGGTGAGATGATTTGAAATCTAAGCAGCGATTTAAGTCAGAAGGTTCCTTATAGACATTAATCTCTAAACTTCTGTCTTGTTTTCGTTTTATCTTGCAATCCATCACCTTCATCCCTTTCTAAGTCATAGGTAGATTGAATTGCGTCGACTACCGAATTTATATGTTTCAAGAAGCTATTGATGTGTTCCGATTTCAGTACCGTAAATGTGTCATCTATCTACATACCAAAACCATATCTTTGGAGTGGACTAAATGTTTAAAGGGCCATCCGTTTCCAGGTATCCATAAATATGTCTATGACGATAGGGGATGTTAGTGACTCCATGGCAATCCCTTCAGTTTGTTTCGATATTTTATTTTGAGACTTAAAAACTGTGGATGTTAGGCACAATCGTATTCGTAGCGTGAATTCCTCCATCAGCACCTTAGTTCGATGCGTAAGCTGATTGTTATCCTTAAGCTTATTTCTAAGTGCTTCTAGAGCCATGTCGATCAGTGTATTTGTATACAGGCCAGGAGTCCCATGCTATGAAGAAGCAGCTGTCCAGCGCTATCAAGTTTCAAATATTTTCCTAAGTGATGTCGGTCCATGATGAATACTAGCCTGAAATAAATAAATAAATCCCCACAAACCTCTAAATTCAACAAATTGGCCTTCAAGTGAATAATTGTATTAATACTGAGTGGTGAATGAGGGTGAAGGGAAAATCTAGGTCACAGTAGAATTTGAACTAGCGGTCTATGGATCAACAGCTAGGTGCTCTTCTGATTGAGGTGCGAGACCCAGCTGCTGGCCAAATCTTAATTTCACTTCAGTCACCAAGGGTTTTGCTTGACTCCTATGTGAATCTGTGATACGCAGCGTTTCGCTCATGGTGTTCATACTTGTCATATTCTTATCCTATTTGAAATTGAGTTGAACTGGAGAGGGATAAGGTTTATACTGATTATCAGTTTGACTATCTGAGATAACTGTAGTTTAGCTGCCGGTCTCAATTCTTCTGTGACTCAAATTTCCGTGTCACCTTCAATCATGACCAAGCATCAACAGTACGAATCTGCCAAGCAATGACTATCTCAGACAGTGATACTGATAAAGAATAATTATATAATCAAACAGGGTAAGACATGTGATCATATCATGTTCATCTGTGTTTATTTGCTGCTCATGATTTAGGATATAGGTGAGATGGATTACTCAAATATACAACTTTTACAATGCATGAAAGTATTAGACTGATAGACTTTGAGGGTTGTAGTCAACAATACATAAATATCCATTGAATCGTTACTCATTCTTTCATCGAAACTATCTAGAAAGTTATAATCGACTACTGATAATCAGTAGTATGTCAAACACATTTTCAAACAATTTTCTTGAACGTAAAATAATTCAAAGTGACTGTATCACTGACTGGGGTTCATGTGTACATTCAACTGACGAGTCATGTTTAGGGCGAAATGCGCACCCTGAATTTTACTTCTAATCATCACCAAACAATCGACTACGAGGTAATATTGAAAAAAAAGTTGCTATACATTCAACTTTGTAAATTTTAACTTATGAAATTAGTCAATACTGATAGTGTATCTCATGTCTACGGTCAAATACCAAAACACAAAGAACACCAAACAATTTCGAAGTTATATCAATTAGTCTTTATTAATATTCTTTTTTCTAGTAAAAAGTAATTAGCTTCTTACTTCTATTTTTTCATTGTTTAATAAAGCGCTGAAATACTAACTGATCAATATAGAAAGAAAGCTACACTATTCAATAATAATGGTTTAGTATTAATACCATTAGGTGATGACTTTCGTTATCAATCAACGCATGAATGGAATCTTCAATTGGATAATTATAATAAATTAATTCAACATATTAACTCCAATTCAAGATATAGAATGAAAGCAAGTTTTTTTGAGATGAATGGGGATTTTTAAAATTTAAAAATAGTATTCATCATGGAGTGATATCAGTTGAGGAACCATTGAAAATCTGGGGTCAACCAGTCGGAAGTGAAGTGGATGCTAACTGAAGACATTGGGTGATAGTCGCGTTATATTGTGAATGGAAGGAGTTGGAAATTGTGAACCACTGGAAACCGACCCAGTGGCTGAATGGTTAACGCGTTCGCCGTGACACCTGAAGGTCCTGTGTTCGGTCCCTAACCGGGTCGCGGGTGCGTACTCCTGAGAAATCCTATTCTAGGATGAAACGTCTGTCCAGTGCTCCCAGATTTTCGATGGTTCCCCAACTGATGTCAGTCCATGATGAATACTACTTCGAAGACAAGTCTGTTATTCATTTTCGAAGCATTTTTATTTTGTGGATTAAATCATACAAGAGATAATAATAAGTGAATTGTAAAGAGTATCGAAGGAAAATTGAAACTCACTCAGCAACCATCTGCCTATTCTTGCCTACCTACTCTTTCATACTCTGTGACTGATTCCTCTAACGAATTTGTTTGAAGTTATAAAAACAGTAACACCAAACTTCCTCAACAGCTGCAAGCATGTTGGTGCATTAGACTGTGGGTCACATCAATTTTGTCAGGGTCAATGCTGATATCTATCTCTGAATTCAGTAGTCCTATGAAAAGCCTGTCACTGTCCGTCTGACTTTTAAGGAGAATGAGTTGATGAAAAGAATTAGTGGAAAGATAAAAACTGCTCTTAAAATCACTTTCCTGACAACTACGTCTCCTTATGCGAAACAAAGTGTCCACTAGATTGCATGGAAGTTGAGAAGTATCTGACTCATGTCACTATTTCACACGTAAATGCTAGAGTATGTAGATGAAAAGGGTTGAGAAGAGGATTTTATAAACACATTTCATATAACTTAAGTACAAATGGGTCAGAAAACCGTAAAAGTTCCATTCCTAAATATATGATGAATACAAGATATGACTTCCAACTGTCGAGTGCATTTTAAAGAATCAACAAATCGAATCAACTATGGTTAAAAGAATGAAACTAGACTTGTATATTCAAAAACAGACAGTTATTAGCTTTCTATATCCATAATAGTTGATTTGTTTTGCATTTCAGCATAATCTCTTCCATGTTTTCTGATTTTTTCACTCTCTTTTACGACGGATTATAAAATCAGTTCCCATTTACAGTTGATGGTTTGTGAGAACCCACTGACTTTAGGGATATGTCATCATGCACTAACATCAGGTGAAGAGATACTGAAAACCTTAGGGTACTATATAGCTGTCTGATTCTAATTTGGACTCTTCAGCAATGTGGCGCACCCACAACCCTGCCAAGGATCAATTTTAGAACCATAAGGTTTCGTGGTCACTGGGTTGGAATTCAATCATCCACACTTTCGTACTACTATCACTTCACGCAACCAGTGTCATTGGGAAGTATTAGTTCCGACACCCGACTCGGTTGACGACCCCACATGCAATGGCTTCTGATTAAAGCTTCAGGAAATCCATCTTGAAGCCACTAGTTTAGCACTGCACGAGAATTCAATTGCTTCTTACTTCATCTATGATTTTACTGTCTGGCGGAAACAGTTTCCCCTTGAATCCACTTTAACTTTTAACCCTATATTTACACTATTGGCTTATCACTTACAGTAATGATGAATAGTAGCTATTAGTGGAGTCCAGGACGTGCGTTTCGTCCTATTTTGGACTCATGATCTGGACATATCTGCCTCCCAGTGAATGATGTCATTCCCACCGAGACTCTAAGCCAGAACTGATCGCTTCAATCGCCAGTGTATTATCCACTAACTTACTGATTATGATAGCCACTTTTTGTGCGACGGGTGTAGTTTTAGTGTTATTGCTTCTTATTTCTCGTCGTTGATTGGACTAAATTGGTCGATCTCTATTGGCACATGGGCTCCTACATGGATGCCTTTGTCACATACGCCTACGTAATCTTTCCTATTCCGTTTTGCAATTTGTCGGATGTAGCTAGATAACAAACGATCTGACTATATGAATACAACAAAACGTATTGCTCTTGTTTTACTAAAAAATTTCAAAAGAACCAACGATATAAAATTTGTTAGTATTTGCTAGTAAAATTTAAATTTTTATGAAGTGGTTTTTGTTATTTTTCTTTTCCTTTTTACCTTTACTCTTCCTTTCTTCCATGTATGATAGATTCGTTATGCAACATTATCTGATTACTTTAAAGTATTAACCGATCGAATGAATGAAGCACACTCCACTATGGCTACATCATTTCCATCATTGTCAGGTGATTTTTCACCTATGCTGATCGACAACAAGATTATTGGAGTGGATATTACAATTCTCGTCCATATCAAAAGTCTTTATCACGTATATTAGAAGCTGAATCAAGGTATATTTCTTATCAATATATCAATATTGTGTATACATTTTTATTCCTTACAATTAATCAGCTATAGTCAGTCTGATTTTTAAATTCTAAAAAATCTCTTCATCGAATCTCTTCTGCACTGGTCGTTTTCTTTCACATTCTGTAATGTTTCACGATGGTGGGTATTATTATTCCTCATCTCCTCTGTCTATCGTTCATTTATAACACAACCTTTATTCTACATTCTGGGTTGATTTTCCTTCAGATTATGCTGCTTTTTCATTTGTCTTGAATATTTCTCGCTTATTTTTCTGCTTTCTTCCTCTAGAATGTCTACTGGTTAAATGTGAACGCTGATTATTTTTTCGATGTTGTGCAAAACTGTAACTCCTTGATTTAGGCAGTTGACTTTCAAGAATAGTCAACTGATTTTTTAAAGTATATTTAAAATTGTCAACAGGCAGACATCAGTTGGCCTGCCTATAATTTAAACGTTGTTTAACCTGGCTGAAAAGGCATTTGTTTTATTTATTATTATCATTTGTCCTTTGGGTTCCTAGTAGAACATAGACCTTCAGTAGCACGTCACCATTTCACTCTGTTCTCCCCAGTCTTTTCAACCTGGCTTCACAACTGCTCAGAAGCTTTCATTTCTTCGTCACACGATCTCCTGTATGTCACCCTCGGACGCCTAACTCGCCGTTTCCCATTCGGGTTCCACTCGACGGCGTAATGTGGCGTGGCGTGGCGTGTGATGTCCCCTAACGGTCTTCTCAGTGTATGTCTAATCCAACTCCTCTCTACTTTCTTGTGCATATTTGTTGGGTGATAGGTTGTTGGTTGGTTCGTTGACATGCCAGAATTCCTTATTGTTTATTCTCATTAAAAAACCAGTGAATAAAACAAATAACTTGAGGGTTAGTTAATCGGTTCAAGAGTGGCTCAGCGCTTGAAATTCATTCAATTGGAAACAGATGCGTATATCACGCTATCATTTAGCAAGGAATCAAACGGCACAATTTTCAAGTGACAGCTCATGTAAAGTATTAAGAAAACAAAACCTAACCACTATATGAGTATTCTTATTTATATAGACACAAGTATTTGGGATGGGATAATCGAGAAATGTAGTCGATGGTGATAGAAGATAATCTTAGACTGCTACAGAAACGCCACCCCAGCACTTCAATAGGGGTAGGCAGAAGATAGCCATCATCTAGTATAGAAATCGTTGGTCAGAACAAAGTTAAAGTAGCTTTCAAACTATTAAACATAAGCTATCATGCATATGTACACTTAGGCAAAAGAACTAAACTCTTTCTGCAAGCACGTTGATACTCATGCACTAGACAGTGAGTCTCCCGTGATGGCTGATGATATTGCTTGCGGAGGGGGAGTGGAGTTTTATCCTACTTCTGGTTTGGAACTCGTCTGCTTCATCATCAATTGTCAGAGCCTCCAAAGTTTGTTGTTGCCTTGCCTTAAAGATTCATTAGTAATATTTGTTTCAGCTGAATACCAAGAATGTTATGAAATCACTATTCCTCCTGTATCATCTGCTTATATTCACATAAACTATCTTAATTCGTTTCTTTGCCTCCGTCGAATTTCCGACTCTCATTTAACTGTATAGTCAGATAGTTGAAAATGTGTGGCACAAATTCACAACACCTTTCAAATAAACTCTGTATTTGGTTAGTGCGAATATTTAAGCTTTAGAAGACGTTAAAGATTTGATAAATCTGTTCCACTGTGACCGATTTTCAGCCATTTCACCAAGAGTCCTCAACTACTGATTTCTTTCATCTCACAAACCCCAGCCAGGAAGTGTAGACTTCCCTACATGTTTCATATTAACAGTCAGGGACTTCATCGACTGGTTCAACATCTTGGTTTGGCCACCTTGAATCTTCTTCCAACCTAATCCAACTTCTCCTAGTTTGATAGGTTAGGTCGCGGTAGGAAGTGGTTGTAAAAATATGCCTTTTCTACTTATTTCTAGATTAATACAGATTTTATTTATGAATGAATTTGCATCATCAGTAGACTGAGGTTGATGCTTTAAAAAGCTTACTCAGTACGATGTCACCAGTGGGTCATGGTTTGGAACCCTGTTTCACCTACCGAAGTTTGTACAATCAGGTAATATCACTAACCCTCACACGATAGTTGTGGTTCATTGCCTACTGCACTTGTGTTCACACTATGCCTGAGTGCGTTTCGTTGTCGTTCGTTTGATCTCATCATGTGGCCTTCAACTACTGTTCATGATCTTCGAGTGGATTTATTCGATTTTAACATGATCATTTCCACTAGTTTCTACCATTTATTTATTTTTCTCTTACTATAATGTTTTCTTACTTTGTCTATTGTCTTTCCTTAACCCGTTAAAATAGAACTGCTGAAATTCTCTATAGTTATGCTAGACAAAGCGTTGGTCGTATACAGAATGTTGCTCAACTAATACCATTGATATCGAATCTTTATCAAAATTTGACAACAGTTCGACGTAATCTTGGCCTATTTCAACATCATGATGCAATAACCGGTACATCGAAACCTGAAGTAATGATCGATTTCTCAAATAAGTAAGTCTGAATCCAATAATTAATTATTTTTTCTTGATTTTTCTTATTACTGTTATCTTAACGCACTAACAAAGAATTTAGAAATGCAACTTATGAAACGTTGGTAGGCTGCTATGCTAAGCTATGAGCTAAATTTCCCTTGTAATCCAAGTAAATTTATAACATACTTGAAACTCCCGACCAATTGCTTGAAAGTTGGGTACCTAGTCAGCCAGTTAATATCAACTTGGAAGCTAGCATTGAGTTAATGGTCCAACTTGATACACTTGTCATTAACACATCAAATACTAGGTAAAAAGGCCCAACAGAAAGATGGATATAACTTCCTCAAACTTTTTAAAGAGCCATAATAAAAGGATGAGATGGATTAAAGCTAGTAAGGAAATAATATGTAATTGCAAGGATGAAGATAATGTATGGATGCATCTATGCCAATGAGATTGAGTCTAAGCTATATCACCTAGAGTCTCCAACATTCGATTTCCATAATCACGCCGGCCGTAACCTGAAGGTCTGAATCTTCCTTCTTAGATCTGACCAACAATCAGAGACTTTATGGACTGTCGCCACATTTTAGTCAGGCTGCCCTACATCTCATCCAAACCGAAATCTAATTCAGGTGACATTGTGTAGTTGCGCAGACTGTGATCAGGCATATGCAACATATATTTCAGCCACCTGAGTCAATGAAGTTTACAACCTCATCAGTTGACTTACTCCTTTTGCCTGAAATTCAACGCTTGACACTCACGTTACTAAAAAATTGCTCCCATGCCACCTGGTCCATAGTCTAAAGGCAACCATAGTGGGATGCCTATAACCTTCTCACACAACCCATCTTTAATGACATAAAGTAGTATAGAGCGAACTGCTACCTCTGCCTCTTCCATCTCCTTAGCCTTCCCTACCTGCCAACACCTACACCCATCATGTAGATTCTTTGTCAATGTGCATTTGAGTTGCTTTCACTCCCCACATTATACTCGAAGCTCGTGACGATGTGTTTACGTGAATCTCTTAATTCAGAAGAGGCTATTGAGATCTCCTGGTCCTTCCTCATCTTTTTGTGTCGGTCAGTAAGAGACTGACAGAGAAACAAAACCAACGTAGAACCTTACACGCAAGTCCATTGATTCAAGTTTTCCCACTTCACAGTAGCATTCAAAGACTCTCATGAAAGTAGACAAAGTTGTATAGGAGGAAAAACAATTTCAAGATGAAGGTTGCTGAAAATATTTAAGCTTCGTAAGACGTCAAAGAGTGAATGCATCTGAACCATTTTGATCGATAATATTTTCCCCAACAACTGATTACTATCGCTTCAGGGATCACAACCAGATAGTCTCCATCTCCTTATGCAGCTCAGACTAACAGCCAGCAACTTCATAGACTAATGGCACGTCTTGATCTACCCGTCCTGAGCTCTCTTCCTATCTTATACAACTTTCTTACATTGCACGTTAAGTTAAGCAGTGGCAGATATATCTACGCTTTATCTTCATCTTAACGCTTATACTGAATTCAGCATTTTCTCATTCCTCCTTCCTCTCATTTTCTGCTTCTGAATGACTTTTATCTCTTTCTTCAGCTTTCATCTTACACGCTGTGTTACTCGTTGTGATGAAATGAAACGTGGCAAACTTGACCGTTACGCAGTGATGCTCGGTTCTATGATAATATTCAGATAAAATGGCATTGAAACTAATAAACTATTCAACACTTAGTGGGAAATCATCTATACCATTGAAATAATAATCCTTATTTTATGACGCAACACTTCATGTCCCGTGTTTTAAGAAAGAAAATTTTATTACTAACCAACATATACACCAGTTTTGATCCACTATTCAGTTTACAAAGTTAAAATAAATTTTATAAACTTTAGGATCAAAATTTGACCTGATAGAGATAAGTTGAGCATTGAGTAAATGGATTATCAATATTTCTGACATTTCGCAACTTCGTGAAAATCCCTTCTTCAGAGACTAAAACCTGTACAAGTTATGGAGTAATGAAACAATTGCTAAGCTGTACAGGTTTTATTCTCTGAAGAAGTGATTTCCACGAAGTCATGAAACATCAGAAATATGTTTTTCTACTTCATTGGGATTTTACACATATGTTTCATTGAAAATAAGTTGTTGAGATTCATTCGGTGTTTAGTACCATGACTACAATTGTTTCACTTCTAAACAGCTAATAATCCTCTTTATAAACTTCGACAATACAATGAGAAGACGTAGTTTATCTGAAGTGTTTGGTGTATCTGCGTAATACATTTCGAACCAACTGATTACGCAATTATTTGCAAGCTGTAGGTTTAGTGTTTGTAGTAAACTAATCTAAACATCACTCATGGTAGTGAACCAACATCGGCTGAGATGGTTTCGATATGTACTGTGGATCCTGATCCGCTCCTTACCTCGACGTGTTATACTAGGCGAAGTTGGATTACGTTAGAAAATGATTCAAGGTGGCTAGACCAAGATGTCGCACTACGTTGATGAAGTCCCTGACTGTTGGTCTGAAACATGTAGGAAGACGTAAACTACCTGGATGGGGTCCGGAGTACAATATAAATCAGTAGATGAGGACTCTTGGTGATATGATTGAAAATCAGTCACAATGATGCAGATTCATTTACTCTTTAACGTCTTCTAAAGCTAAAATATTCGTACTAACCGCTATCTTCGAGTTGTTTATTTTCTCACACAACTTTGTCTACTTTGAATATTACCTTCTTTGTTCGTTGTGTACTACTATGAATTGCGGTAACGTGAACGGATGCACCTATGTGTCAGGCTACACGTTGATTATCTGTCTGTCTATCATAATTGTAAACATGGACAAACTTTCCTGCAATTTGAACAGTTCCACCCAGAACTAGCTGTAGTGGACTATATAATTATATACACCAGCCGAACGGGGAAGCAGACAAATCAATCTAGAACCTTGCATAGAAGTGCATCAGTATAAATCAGTTGCCACACTTTCAAATAGCACGCAAATCCAAAGTGGGATAGGTAAATAAGTATATTAAAGTAGACAAATTTGTATGAAACATTAGAGGAAAAAGTGAATAAAGAGTAGTGAAATGTTTCCAATTTTTCAGCGATTTTTAACCATATGACTGGCAGCTTCAAACTGGTAGTAGTAGATATACCTAGTGAAGCCAAACCTGTGGCATATTCTACAATCGTATGTTTGCGGCTACCCTGATATACTGGTTGTTTTTTTTGTCGAATCACTTTTTACTGAATCTGCTTTTTTGTTGTTGTCGTCATTATTATTATTATTATTATTATTATTATTATTATTATTATTATTATTATTACAGACTATTGAAAGCGGTTGAAGCAGCCAGGAAGGTGATCACTCTATCCAGTGTTTATCTATTATCATTCAAATTGAATGGTGGAGATATTTCTAACCGATTACCGGTATCGAATGAATTCAAACAAAGATTAATTCAATTAAGTGAAGAATACGATAGAAATCAAAATCATGATGTTACAACTTCGCAAAGTTTTTATTCTCTTGAAGATCATTTACATAATCATGAATTTCCTCAACCCGTTCTAATCGATTTTTCAGAGAATAATGGTGTACCACAAAAATCACGGTCAGTTTATTCATGTTGATTCAATTCAGTTTGAATATATATATATATATATATATATATATATATATATATATATATATATATATATATATACGTGCTATAATTAATTATATCAATTATTTACATATACTGTTTGTTTAACGAACGTCGTATCTTTTACAGTGTGAAAAAGTGCGAAAACGGACAGACAAATAATATCAGCGTAGAACCTGGCATACAAGTGCATCGGTTCAAGATGCCACACTTCACAGTAGTACACAAAGAACAGGTAAATAGAAAAGGAGTGATATTTAAGTAGAGAAAGATGTGTCAGAGAATAAGCAATCTATAGATAATAGTTAGTGCGAAATACTTAAGCTTAGAAAACGTTAGGAAGTGAATAAATCTGCGCCATTGTGACCGATTTTCAGTCATTGTCACCAAGAGTCTTCAACCATTAGTTCTTTCCCGTCTAAGGTAGTCTACATCTTCTGGTACGACTCGCACCGGCAATTAAGGACTTCATTTACTGGTGAGACTTTTTGATCTGACCACACTGAACCCTCTTCCAACCTAATCCAACTTCCCTCAGCACGGCACGTCGAAGTAGATAGGGGCTGGGCATGCACAGTGCATATCCAAGCCATCTCACTCGATGAATATTCACAACCCTCATCCATCGACTCGCCTTTCTTGCATAGTACCTGTTGCCTGATCTCAACCTGGTTAACACAGGGTTCCACCAAACGTGAGCCATTGCTGGAACACACCTGTAATGAAAACCCTGTACTCGTTTCATATCGTCTACTTTCAGCACCCATGACTCACAAGCGTACAACAGGACAACGAACTGCAACGCAGTATACTCGTCCTTTGATAGGTAGTTGGATATCTCGTTAGTCGGTGCCGGAGATGACTCAGGTTGGCAAGTGCTAAACGGGCCTTGTGTATTCTGTCTAAGATTTCGTCAGCAACCAGCCCATTCACGCTGATGCAACTCCCCAAGTGAGTGAAGTAGTCAGTGCAATTGACCACTTCACCCCTATCATTAAATTGGGAGTACTTGCCGTCGGCCAGTCCTGGAGTGTCTTAAATTTGACAGGTGACAGCTAAGCGCACGTCAAATATACCTAGATTTCTGCTCAACGTGTCCAGAAGACCCTTCATTCTGTCCGCGTCCTCACCCAGCGGGATACTATCGTTGGTATACTCCAAGTCAAACAGATGACCTCCAGAGAGTAGACCAATCCTTGTGAAGTCAGACGTACTTAAGGTTTTATCCATTAATACGTCTGTGATGAAGTTAAATAGGAACGGTGACAGTGGAAATCTCTGAAGGACACCACTAGTTGTCATCTAAAGATATCATATGTTTCTCTGGGTTAGAAAAGTTGATTATGAACGGGAAACAAACAACATCTGTAGATGCTTCTTCTTTATTCACTAATGTACCACTTCTCGAAACAGTAGAATTCATTTGTTAGGAGATATCAGGGAAACGTTGATGTTGAACTTCCAGAAGGTGGTCTCAAACAATCACTTTTACAATGCACCATAAATCTGCATTTTCTAATTAATGATACACATTACAGAAAAACTGATGGAATAGCCATGGGTTCACCATTAGGCCCAGTATTAGCTGCTTTTTTTCTTGAGAAATTTGAGAATGGGCCGCTTAAAAATGTCAGCTGGAAATGCATAAACGTTATATTCACCACACTTTCGTTGTCATTGATAAAAATGTTGACAAAAAAGAATTGTTAAGAGAATTCAATGATGTACTCTCCTCTCTCATTTTCGCTTGTGAACAAGAATATATGCTACTTTCGTAGATGTCCTATTGGTTAGAAGAGATAATATGTCACTCAGTAGGAGGGGATACAGAAAGACCGCATCCACGGGTTAGTAAATACATTTCCTTAGCTTTGTGCATATTCGGCATAAAAGAAGCTTAGTTAAATGTCATGCAACCAGAGCTAAAAGGATCTGCTCCGATGATTTGATACATAAGGAGTTGGAATACACTTACAATATACTGGTAGAAATGGGTTACTCCCATAGTTTTGTCAAGAGGCACATGGGCAGGATGACTAAGAAATGTGAGCAAATGACTGTTTAAAAGAAATCATTATTCATGAAGCTCCAATTTCAAGGGGATGCACCTGACGAAGTTTTATTCTAGAGGCTGTTTATGGCCATCAGAAGAACTTTCTAAACCGTTAACCTTTGTCTATCATTTTCTAGTTGACTGATAGTTGTTGCTCAAATGAAAACAAGCTGCCCAGTTCTGCTGTCGTGAGAGAGCTGTATTGGGCGTACAACTAAGCAGCTTAACAAATGTGTTGCTGAGCACCTATCTTCATCGTTAGGAAAGGGACAAGTGAAGACAATACGAAGTCGAATTCTATCGCATTCGGTCAACAGTAGTCATGTAATAGATAAGACCAAAGCGTTCAAAATCATCTATTATATTACACAAAATCTTTCGTATGTAATTCACACGCGCATATTACATATGGTTGAGGCTATGTGAATTAGAGAAACCAACCCTAGTCTTTGTATTCACAAAAAGTTTATGCAACTCTTATCTCTGCCTTGGCGAGAGAAGACTAATAAATAAATAATAAATGATAATTAATTAATAATAAATAAAGTTCAGTTTTCATACCTCTTCCTTTCTTCATTCCCTACACACACACACACGCACACACACACACACACATGTTTATTTGCCTAGACTTTGATTATCTACGCATTTGTTCCACATTTGTTCTAAACTTTAGCTTACATTAATTGTCTAATTGTTTGCAGTACTGTGCTGTTCCCATTATTCTTATTTCTTCTTCTGAAGATGAAGAATTACATGTTGTCCAACTAAAATAATCAAAGTGTCTTTAGGAGATACATTTACGCTAACAAATAAAGCCTACTTTTGAATGTCGAGATTTTTCAAAGGAGTTCATATCACAGATCAACACTAATCAGAGAAGCGTTGACACTATTGTTTAGTTGTCTCGTCCTTGTTTTGATCGTTTCGATACTCTCCTCCCACTATATTTTTTCTCTTTACTTTTATCTCCTAATAATATTGTGTTTGTATAACAATAATTTCTGTGTATACAATTTAGCCTTCAGAACTGGTATATACCGTAGGTATTTCGCATTCAAATGTTTTTTATTTGTTTATTTTCTATGTAAGCTTTTTATCTTAATCTCTTGTGGAGGTATATTTACTGCTTTATAGAATTCAATTGATTTACCAGTTTATAAGGGTTGATAATCCTACTTGGCTATCCAGACTTCGGTAGATGGAGAGCTGTTCAAACGCGTAGCCCACTGATTAATAACCAAGTGCTAAACCAATGAGGTAGCACAACTCCTTCCAGCTATACGTCTTCTTTCGGCCAGTATTGAATGTCATTCTTACAATGACCTCCTGCACATGTGTATAGTCGACTATCTACGTGAATAAAGACTGAAAAAGTGAATTCAATGAGATGTTAATTTGTGATATATTAGTTTCTTAAATCATAGATGGCACTAAATTGTTTTTATATGCACGTCTTATTCATTAGAACAAGACTTTTTTTTTCATCTACAACATGTATTACTCACAAGTAGTACTTCTTAGGTCAAGTGATCATTTTTCTTGCTCGGGATCGAACTGAAGATCGGTGTCTTTGGTTTCATTCAATTCATTTTACAGGATTTCTTAAACCATATGAATTCATGTAGTTGATAGTAGCTATGAGACATGACATCAAAACCAGGTGTTTATAAAATACACAATCCTATATGAGTATGACACAATTAGAAAAGATTTAATTGTGAAGTTTCATTCTATTCTCCTCTAGAAAGCAGAATATGCAAATGAAAAGTTATTATCTGTTTGATACTATGAACTGATCCCCTAAATGCTTTACCATATAAATACAATTTTCATACCTTTTCATTTTTTTTTTATATTCCACTTGTTCCATATAGTCGGATATATATTTTTAATCCATCAACACGTAATCGTAGTACAATAATCAATTTACGAGTTAAAGGTCATTTTGAAAATTTTCAAGCGAAACAAATTTTTTCGGATCCATTGAAACCATTTAATCAGTTAATTATTCAATTAGAGCATACTGTTACGAAGTTTCCCAATGATAATCAAAAACAACAACCTATCAGTTTATTATACTTGAGTTCAGTTAAATTATACCCATTATCATTTGGATGTATTGAATTGATACTGTCATCAAGATCTTCTTTGTCATTGCCTCTTATACCAGTAAAATCGCAATTGGCTCCAAATAGTGTTACTGAAGAATTGGTAAAAAGGTTAGTTTATTTACAGTAATGTTTATGTCTTCATCCGAAACATTTGTATTTCTACTCCTTTTATGAAGATACTAGATGTGACTGGAAGTCGGTTTTGTTGGACATATTTTTATTATTGTTTTTCCTTTGGGTTCCTAGTAGAACATAGACCTTCAGTAGCACGTCGCCATTTCACTCTGTTCTCCCCAGTCTTTTCAACCTGGCTTCACAACTGCTCAGAAGCTTTCATTTCTTCGTCACACGATCTCCTGTATGTCACCTTCGGACACCCAACTCGCCGTTTCCCATTCGGGTTACACTCGACGGCGTAATGTGGCGTGGCGTGGCGTGTGATGTCCCCTAACGGTCTTCTCAGTGTATGTCTAATCCAACTCTCTCTACTTTCTTGTGCATATTTGTTGGGTGATAGGTTGTTGGTTGGTTCGTTGCCAAACAGAGTCCTTATTGCTTATTCTTTCTGGCCATCTAATCTTCAGTATTGGGCGTAGGCAGTTGCTGATGGATGTCTGTAGTTTGTTGGAAATGCTTTTCGGAACGCACCAAGTCTCTGAACCGTCACGTAGAAGCATTGACTTGACTGACATTAATGTTGAAAATCCGGATCTTGTTCACGATTTACGCTGAGTGCAATGCGGTGCAGTAGATCTCCACGCTGGTTTCAGGTTAATGAAGGCTTGTCTTACTGTCTTTCTGATCCTGGCTTTGACGTCCTCATCTGTGCCGCCTGTAGTTGAGACGATGCTGCATACAAAGGTAGGTGAAATAGACTACTTCCTTTATATTTCTCTCGTTGATGGTGATTGGTGCTTGATGTTGTTATCGGTTGGACATCATCAACTCTGTCTTCTCTACGTTCACCTGAAGTCCTACCTTCTCTGCCTCACCTCTTCTTCCAACTTGTTAGTTTTTGCCTGTATATCTTCAAGTTTGTGCTACAAGACATTAGACATAAATCATCGTAGGCGAAATCCAAATCTTCTAGGGTATTTTCATCGGTCCAGCCAGCGCATGCCCATCTCGCTCCTCACAGTTTGTTGCATAATTCAGTCGTGTCGACCACAATCAGGAAGATCATCGGCGTTAGTAGGCGGCAGCCTTGTCTTACACCTGTCTTCACTTCGAAGGAATCACTGAACTTTCCATTGTGAGTCATTTGGTATTTGGCATCATATAGCATATAGCTGCTGTTGAATGAGTTTGATAAAGGTTTGTGGTACTCTGTAGTGTTGAAGCAGCTTCTCGGTAGTTGCTATCGTAGGCTTTTTCAAAATCGATGAAGTTGAGTTAGAGAGTTGACTACGAGTCTATGCTGCGTTCTATGATGATACATAGCGTATCGTTGCAATTTGATGCTCACATGATTTGTTCTTCCTGAATCCAGCCTGTTCCGGTCGTAATTTTGAATCCAGAGCATTTTTTTAGTCTCTCCAGGATAATGCGGCTTAATATTTTGCTTGGGGTAAACAGCAGCATGATTCCTCGCCAGTTCTTGCACAGACATAATTGTAGGGGTAAGTGGAGATGTGTTTGTGAAACATTGTTACAGAGAAGTGCAATACTTCTACATGCTACAATGCCTAATAACTCATGGCAGATGGGAAAAACTGATCACATTAAACAAGGCGGTGCTAAAAATAGTGACTTAACACTTGACCTTAGATATGGCTCACTGTGGTATTTCCTATTCACTCCTTCGATATTTTGCGTTCATAATTCCTTAATTTTAATTTTGCAATTAATCTGAAATGAATTGTAATCTAACTTAAAACACTATCCTAGTTTCTATTCCGTTTTCATCGTTTGATAGTCTTGATTGGTTGCTCATGGTTATTTAGTAAGTTGTTGGTTTTCGACTTCTAATCCTTACTGTCGCATGAAACGATGAAATGGTATGACTGAATCTTTGGATAAATATTGCGAAGGGCAATTTAAGTATAAGAATTGGGCAGTATAGTATGATGTAACTCCACATTAGACGAGTCTATTTGACATAGCACGCAGTGATGCCGTATTATTTACTAGATGACGATGTTCCAAGCAAAATTTATTGCTCATAATCATACCTTGATATGATTCTTTGCACTAAAAAATGTCGTAATGAATCAGTATATGATCAACATGCTGGTAATACTTTCTCAACTTGTATAACATTTTTTGTATAAACTTGTTCATCTCGTTATACTACTCATATATATGAAACAACTGAATACCTTCAAATATTTAAAGGTATAACAAAATATTCCCAGGTTATTAGTTATTATTTGTTAAATGTTAGTCGGAAACGAGTTCTGTATACTTTTTTTCAGATTGTGAAGCCTCATGAGAACGCTCTGCTTAAATCTTCGGTTACCGAAAAACTTTCCACCGATTATATTCCATCAAATTCTTCCCTTTTTGTTTATTTTAATCTTTTAAATATCTTCTGAACTCATCATTTACTCTCACAAATTTTTAAAAATATTATACAGAAAATGAATTTGTTGGAAAATTCCATACTGTATCATACATGCAGTTTGGAATAAAGCGATTACTATTATTATTATTATTATTATGGCTGCACGGGAAAACAAGAAAATGAAGAGATTAGCGGTTGGATGAAAACCGCTCCACTACCTTATCCCATTATAATTTATTAATTATAATTAAGACTATATGCACACTTTCAAGGTATGTCGTGTCTTAGCTTAGATATTGTTAAGATGCGGAGTTTTTGAGAATGAACGATATTAACTGATGATTGTGAGTTGAGGGTTGAGATGATTCAACCCGAATGATTCTCAAAGGGAAATCAGAAAACTAGTAATCCACTGAGCTTATTGTATCTTGAACTGAAAACGTTTATTAATTAAAATCTACCCTATTTATAGAGTTTACAAGGAATAATTAGTACATTGAAAGAGGTAGGAGCCAATCAGAACGATAGCGGTTAGTATGAAATGTGTCCCACACCCATTAAAAAGGAGCATAAGGAAAAACAGTTTAAAAGGGTATAAATGATAAGTATGGAATATAAGTAATATAGGCATCCCTAGCAGATGTATAACTACCAACTATTTGGCTATCGCAAGTTAAAATCTATTCATATCTATAGAACTACATATATTCGATAATAATTATTACTGATTACATTTAATTAGTATTTGGCTTCTGAGTTGCATAGTATTTTTCTTATTTGTTACTTCTGACCCACTGAAAGCTGAGTAATACTGGACAGTTGATTCATCATAATCAGAATACACTTAAGATACCCGAACTTGACATGGTGGTCGGGCTTACGTATCATAATGACTCAACAAGCTATGCTAGTGGAACGCTTGTCCACTCGACGTCTTACTACACCAGAAAGGCCAGTTGGATAATGATATGATAAACAGCAGTTACTGTTATAGTATATATACATTGCTACGCTATGATGTGGGTCCAAGGGTGAATTCGTACTGCTTGCTGGACGAGGGTATGAAAATAGCAGTGTTCCCCGCTGATGACCAGCAGTACCATGCTGTTAATGCCTCCCTCCAGAAAGAAGGGGTTAAAAAATGATCAATCGAAAAGTAGCACACTTTCTTCTACTCCACGGTACACCGATGCCAGAGATATGGATTCATAGTCGGAGTCGAAGCTAACAAAATAAAGTCTCAAACTTCTAAAAAGGCTGTTTGTGGCCAGCCTTAAACTGATGTCCCTTGAGCTCTGCAGTCACACAGTAGCCCTTCTTTTCAGGTACCTCATGTATAACCAATCTTCCATAGTTTGGGTAGCCGTGAGGCATTAACCGCCCTAACAAACCTGTCAGCACTCATGATATGGTTCTACAGCTAATGTTGATTAGTTACGGAAACTTTCTATTTGCTTATTAAATGTCATAAGGTTAAATAAAAAGTAATTGATAACTTCGCTAACTGCTTGGCATTACTCATTTGTATATTACTCTCATTTTACTGAACTATAACCTTTTTTTTCTCTTCCTCTCTCTCTGCCACCTGATACATGATAGTTCTCGACCACTAACTATAGAGAATAGTTATATTCAATTGGAATTCCATCCTAAAACTGGTTATCTTCAAGTAAGTTAACTGTAGATCCATTTGTAATATAGACGATTGAATGTTTGCAAAGATTATTTCCGAATTCTTCTTTTTTCCTCGCTTTGTTCACTCACTATCCCATGTGTATCCATGCATTTTAGTATAGTCTTTTGCATTATTACTTTTTCTTACTGACCAGATATGGAAAGTAGTAAATTTTAAAATAATGAGCATCATTTATCCAATACCGAAATATTTTTAAAACTAGTAAACTACAACTTGGTTCAGATATCTGTTAAATGGATTCTCGTTGACTTTTTGAAGTGGTTTTGTTTGGCTAGACGCATCCAACAATATCCATCACTATAACCTTTTCTAGTGTTACGTTAGGAGTGTATGCTCTTCAGTATAAGAGTGAGGATAATAGGTGTTAGGTGCAGTACTTTCACTGATATATTAGTGACATGCTTCAAAATGAATACTGCGAAATGCTGATGAGAAGCCGTGACCTATAGGGTCAACCATTCGAAGGTGAGGCGGATGCCAACTGGAGACCTTGACTGATAGTCGCGCTTTATTGTGAGTTGATAGAAGTGGGAAATTATTGAATTTTAAATCAATGGGTGGTTAACACGTTCGCCGTAAGACCTGAAGGTCCTGGATTCCATCCGTAGCCGGGTCTTGGGTTCATGCGCCTGAAGAGTCCCACATTAGGATGAAATAGCTCTTCAGTGTTCTCAGATTTTTAATGGTTCTACAACTGATATCAGTCCGTGTTGAATATCACCTTGAAAATGTAAGTACTTTGTAATAGTTATTCAACTTTCCTGTCAGAAAAAGCTGTTTCTTCATGTTCTTCCCTGACAATTGTCTTAAATGTTATCTACTAGGATATTTCTTCTAGATAGTCTCAGCGTTTATGCTTATTCTGATATCTTTTTACTGTCGAAAAGCGAAGTTATAAAAGGCTTGCCATAACGCCTCTGTTGTCTCACGATGTCCTGTTGTGAGTTATCTCAAAGTAGGATTTAGTATTGTAAGTCAAATATTTGTAAAACATCTTCGCTTTTGGCTTGCCTTTTAGTTAGTTGCTATTTGGTTTCCTCAACCAAGTACTCATCTGTCTTCTCTCTCAATAACTGATTACTGAGAAATGTCACCTTTTTACACACTCTAAGCATTTTAACCTCTATCTACTAATGTATTAGTTCTCAGACAGGGCACATAGAAATAGGACAAGATGATCTATTGTTTATGTTATAAAAGGAATCTATACCTCATAGTTTGTTGCTTCAAAAATTCTGGAAATTCCCTGAAAGCTTTCATGGCCAATCAGGACAAGCCAAATATTTACAAAAATGCCACATGAACTTCAGATTGAAGTAATGATTTTCTAGAAGAGTGTAGAAAATATCAAAATCGCTGAAATCACATTCTAACTTAAGGATCAACTTTTTATTGTTTTATCACTTCTTTCTTCTTTTTTTTTCGAAAAACTGACCGACTTTCAAGGATGACGCCTAAAGTTATCGTTCAATAGTCCACACGTATACACATATATAAGTAGGATATATCAGTTTCTGACTAATAGTTGTGTTAACTTGTTTAAATGTAAATTGATAGAACGAGATCTTATCTTTTGTACCAAAAAAATACATTTCGTTGTGTATTCCTGATTTTCATAAACACCTTTTATAAAAGTGATTAAGGAATACTATAAAATTTTAAACTTTATGCAAATGATTTATTATTTTTCTCCCTTATTTTCTCTGTTCTTTTCTTTCTACAGAAAATGTTCAATAAACTAACTCAACAATCTATAGATATGAAAATTGACTTTATTACGTATAAAGCACCGAAACATAACTCAAATAGTGGGGCTTATTTATTTATCTCTGATGGATTAGGTGAAGTAAGTAATTTCTTAGTGATATTCATGAATACCTTTTTTCAGTTATTACAAGTTTTGGTATTTTAAAGTCCACGAAATTTAAAACTGCCCATAAATAAAATCATCATCCTGTTTATTATTTCTCAGTGATGATTTGCACAGTATACTAGTAAAACATCTGGATTTTAGGTGTTGTTTTGATTAACGCTTACTAGGGAAGTGCAGTTTTAGCCTCTTCGATGTTTTTGTTATTCAAGAACTTTCAGTTAATGCAACACAGATAGATAAATCAATGTAGAACTTGGGACAGAAGTGCACTAATTTATACTGTCATTCCTCTTGCCAATGTACGAATAGAAGGTGAATAAACAGAAAGATTAACATAAAAATAAGCAAAAGTATATGACAGTTGAGAGAATAAATTGATGAAGGTTAATGAAAGCATTCAACACTTTGAAAATGACAAAGAAATGCGTTCCTCTACATTATTGTAATACATTTTCATTATGAAGTGAAATGAAATGAAGAACTATATATAAAAAAAAGGACGGTTAAGCATTCCCTGCTTCCTAAATCAGAATTCCTTGATGGTACTGACCTACAACTGTACATAGGTTTCAGCTTCATCTCTTCGGATCTCGCTGCTGGCACATCACCCGCCATCCAACCACTTTCAGTCAATCTGTTGACATCAAGATTTGAGCTGACCTAACACATGTCACATCAGCACATCAAGATACGCGGTAATAAGATGAAAGACAGAAAAAGGAGCAAAGTAATCTAAAGCTGTAAAACATACAAAGAACAGGTGAAGAATAAGAAGGGAATAAAAAGGAATTTGTTATGACAACTGAGGTGAAGATAATATATGGATGCACTTGCATCACTGAGATCAATTCTGAGCTATATCACATAGAGTCTGAAACCTTCGACTTACGTAATCAACCCGCTCTCAACTTAATGGTGTGTATTCTCCTCCTCGTCTCTGACCAACAATCAGAGACTTTATGAACTGTTCTCACATTTCAGTATGGTTATCCTTGACGTTTTTCTAGCCCAAATGCATTTCAGTTAACATTGTGCAACGAGGTAGATGGTGACTATGCATGCATAACAAATAAATGAGTCGTTGAAAGTTCACAACTTCATCAACTGATCTACTTCTTTTATTTTAAACTCGAACCTTGACTCTCACGGTAGTGGTTCCACGACACAATCTGTGTTACAAAGGCAATGGTGGTCGAGTACTTAAAACCTTCTCATGTCCTCCAACTCTGATGGTCATATTTCATATCCATATAGAATAGAGCCATCTGCTGCATTTTAGACTCTCCTTTAAGTAAGCAGTCGGATACCACAACGATGCTACTAACGATTTAAATTGACGAAAGCTAAACGAGTCTTTTGTATCCGTCCGGAGATTGCGTTGTTCACTGTCCTGTCAGAGCTGTCCCAACTTCCCAAGTAATTAAAGTGGTTGATGCGCATTTGTGTGGTAAGGAATGCATCCCAGAAATTCTCAAACTTCCACTCAATGTGTCTAAAAGACTGCATCTTGTCAGCGTCTTCGCCTAACATGACTATGAAATCTATATACGTTAGATTTACTAAGTAGTCAGTTGTGACCAGGTCAATTTCAGTAAAGTTAAAAAAAGGACAAGGAGACCGCATTGAGAATGTCTGACAAAAACCAATAAGAATGGAGAAAGTGAACACCCTTAGCAGATACCACTCGACATAGGCAACTCGCCTGAGACCTATCCATAGGCTTTAACACATTCACATGTGTTCAAGTACTGAGCCGTTGACATTAGGATGTACTTATTCGACACCCCTTCTAGTATAAAACACTACCGTGTAACCTCTGGATCAGTGAAGTGGAGTGCTACCTCAAGAAATGAAGCTAGTGTCGACCACCAGTAAGTGTGCCTCTGTTCCAAAAGTTGTTGAAAGGTCCATGCACCGATAACCAGGTCTGAAACCTTACTGGATTTCTCATGTTTCCTGTTTTCAAGCAACATTTAGATGTCTTACGACTATGAAACCTAGAATCCTGCACACTCTTTGTCAGACTGCTTCCACATTGGTTATCACAGGAGGATTTCTCGCCCTTCTTGAAGATCGGGACAGTCAGTGACTGAGACTAGTAAATGTAGCTCACATCTAATTACCATACACTAGCTAACGCTTCAACTAATGTGACTGATAATCCCCTGTCACCATTTTTAAGTACCACTGGTACTAGCCTATCTTTTCCTACTGCAATTCATCGTCTCTTGATACTTCTACAGGAGTCAGAGTATCTGTCTCAATGTTCCATTTAGGAACCGCCAGGATAAGTGGGCCACTGAAGACCGGTTGAGCTGTTCCTCAAATTGTTCCACCCATGTTTCCAGTTTTCTGTTCTGAGAGTGAATTACAAACTGATTTCCATTTATTATGGTCTCAACAGTCATTTTCTTTTTCACCTCAGTTTTCTTGCTGGGTCTAAACAGCTGTCTGGTATTATGTATCACCACTACCTTTTTCTATCTATGAGCCTTCACTTTCCGTCAACACACATTGTCATTGTATAAACTCTTTGTCTGTCTACATTTGATTTGGTTTCAGTCGTTTTGCTCAAGGGTTGCGATAATGCGTTGACGCGAATCTACTGATTCAAAAAAACTACTTAAATCTACTGGTTTTCTCTAACTTTCACATGATGATCATTAAGGTTGTTTTTACAGGAGACCGGGGATGGTGCTGGGCTAATGAGGTGCGTGAAAATGTCGTGTTTCGATGACTGTGTAGTCAGCGTATAACTTAAAGCCGCCTTGATATTCCCACCACCGAAGTGTGCTCTGAATTGTCTTGTAGCTCCAGCTTTTTTGCATCCACTCAGGCGCATATATTAGCACACTCGAACGCGACTAGTGTGCAAATACGTGCGAATAGTAGCAGTCTCTCTCTGACCCTGTTCAGCAATAAATGATAGCGATATAATTTACCTACGTGTCGACCGTTGAGTTGAAGTCGGTGCATGTTACATCAGACAGTGTCTCCCTTTATGTTTGAAGTCCCTGCTGAGCAAATATTGGTGGTTTACTGAGAACAATTTTAGCAGATTGTCACCACTTTTTGTTGGTTGGACTGGTGTTCCGAAAGTACCATTCAGGTGCTTTTCTCTTAGGCTTTGGCTGCCTTTTTTTTCGGTGAAATTACCCGATAAATAAATTGTATTCGAGCCTTTGGCTTTCAGTTAGAGAATAGATGGTTTTCCGTAGAACTTATTTTTCACTTCATCGGAACTGCTGTCATTAGGTGTGTATCACAAAGATTAATCTAGACTTCATTACGTTTTTATTCCATACTGAAGCATTCAGTCAAAAAAACATCTGTTGACTATGATCTAGTGGAGCTGTTAACTTACTACTTTGAATCGAATCCTATACTTACGTGTGCAGGATTATAGCTACTGACCATCGAATCTCTGGGCCATTTCAAAGTGAATTTCACAAATTTAGTACATTGGCTGAGTAAAGTTTAGTGTTTAGCAGCAGTTGAGTTCTGTATGCTTGCTTCCCACGCACAGATTGCGTGCATGATTCGAGATGCCAGACTTTCGGCTAATGACGCCTGTTGTCCTGTGTAACGGAAGGTAAAAACATCGAAAGCTGTAGTGTGTTGTTTGGAAGGTGGTTTTAGCTAATTAGGGATGCTATTGTGTGTACTGGAATCTTCAAAGAAGGCATCATAGCTGGGAAAAATAATGCGAGGTAGGAATATCTACTGAGAGATGTGACAATAGTTCAAGAGGCAAAGATATTAAAGGTTGATAATGATCTGAGGGGACTTGAATACTGACAGAAGCAGGTGTGCAGTAGACACTTTCCAGCTGCCTACACCTTTGAAGGTTACTTTGTTGTGAAGAGACTGGATTAGTTTTATGTGTCTGCAAAACGCTTTTATGAGTTTAAAATTGAAGTTCGACTATGCTGAATCTAGACTTTGAAAACCTATATGGGTTGAAGTGCATAACCATGGGGTAGAAATGAGTGTGATGTTTTTTGAGGGGGCCCACCCTTTATAACGTTTCTTTCTCACACAGGAGGTAGCATCAAAATAAGATACTGGTCTTCCGTGGGAAACACCTTGTGCTGCCACACGCCGTGCAGCCGACAATGCTACTTCATTTGCCGATCCGCATTATATCTTAATTGGGGACACCATGGCGGTAACTGCTTTCATTCTTACCGCTATCCAACAAATGTTTCCGGTGTGGTAGGATATCAAAAAACAAGTGTTTCAACCAGTATAGCTCGTTGAGTCATTGTGATATGCTAGTTTAACTAATGCGTTAGGGTAACAGCTAGCAGCTAGGATGGAATCCGATTGTATTTTATTATGATACGGCTGAAGTGTCTTTTTTCATATTCTTTTTTCACTATAACTTTTCAATACTCTGTGCATTGATTGTTCACTGTATGTTGACCAGTGTGTTGTCCTTTTCTGAATTCTAACGGATATCAACTGATGAACTCGCCAATGTGCCTAGTAACACCGATTGAGACGAATCCCTGAACTGAGGTTTTGAGCCTGTTCATACTCCGTAGTTTGGTTTTTCTCCAACCCTATGGGTACTATCGGCAAGACAGGCAAGTCGATTGATAAGGTTATGAACCTTTGTCTACTGTTATGACTTGGGTATGTACTGCCTATGCCGAACCATCGTCTACCGCGTTGTGCCATGCTAGGGTAATCTGGATTAAACTGGTGGAGCGTTCAGGGTGGCCAAACAAGATAGGACACCAGTTGGTAATATTTTTGACTGTTTGTCTGAGCCGTGTGGAAAGACGTAGACTGCCTCGCTAGTGTCCATAGGACTCTTGGCGATTTGGTTTCTAAAAATCGGTCACAATGGCAGAGATAATATTCACTCCTTGATGTCTTATGAAGCTTAAATATTAACAGTAACCTTTATTTTCAGATTACTTATACTTCCATACAACTTTATCTACTTGATATCACTCTCTTTGTAACCGCCTGTTATTTGTATACTACTGTGTGACAACTTGAGCCGATGTACTTATTTGCGAGGTTCTGTATTGATTATGTCTGACTGACTATCAGTTTTCACAGGAATTCAAGCAGGTGCTGCAGGTAAATATCTTACCATCGAGTTATTTATGTCCCAATCGTTCTACTAAAGTGTAACCACGAAGCTAAGTCACCTTATTTAATTTTAGACTTGTTTTCTTTCTATCTTTCTCTTCTTATCACTATTCTGTGTTTTCAAATATTATGTTTCAGACCTTACCACAAACAAAATCCTATAGCTATACTAAAGGCGATCTAGTGGATACAGTAACAGCGTATACAGAATATGTAACACATACAGTCCGTTTGTATAAATCATGTAAGTTCAGTATTATGCATACTTCTTCACTGTTATAACCAGTTTCTTCTCTTCTTGAATAATACTACTGGTAAACAGGTTATATGTATACTTGTTAAAATGTTTTTAACTTCACGTTTCATTCTCCCACTAAAAAAATCATAAATACACCATGTGTAATATCAATGCTAAGTTGGATAATCTCATAACATGTATCTGTTTCATATTTTGATATAAAACTCAGCCTACTATGATGCCTTGTCTGTTGTTTCTGTAGTCCCTGTAAAGTATTATTTCATTGTCTGAATTAGTTAGTTATTATAGAAAGGTAACTGTCTTTTCTAACTGTTCTAAGTATAATGGTGATATGCAGTGAAATATGATAAGCATAGTAGAAAATCTGTTTATGGAAAGCTTAATTTTATTGAAATATCGTCTTGTAAGTCATTTGAAAAGATGTAGTGTTTGATAAAAAATCTTCATCGGTCTACATTCATCAAGCCTCATGCCCAGTTACAGTAATACCCTTCACAAACTGCCGTGAATTATGTTAACTTTTCACTATGCATCCAATATTATCGATACTATTCGGTCAGAACTTGATCATCATTTATAACATGGAATTTTATTTTGAAGTTGGTTTAGAATTATTTATGTATGTACTTTGTATTTCGAGAAAAAAGTTATTGAACTTTGGTTTTTATTATCAAGTAAACAAGGTGATTGTTTCGTCCAACTTTTAACTATCCTGGTAAGTCACCTGGTTGTGGCTAGCAGCAGTGAAATCCAAGAGGCGCGTTTCTTTCTATTTGGGACTCGTCAGCTGAATGTCCCTGCTGTAGTCCAGAGAGTGATGATGTTCTCACTGAGACTCTAACCTCGTACCTATCACTTCAAACACCAAGACGTCATCTACTATGCCATGGTGGTGCGATAGCCACCTCTTGTACAACGGGTATTAGTTATTGCTATTTATCAATAAGCTTGTAATTCTCCGTTGTTTTACTGGATCGAATCGTTCGACCTCTATTGGCATATGCACTTAAATACGGATCCCTTGATGTTGCTTGAATATTAATTATTGTAATTTACTTGGTTGTGGCTGGCAGAGGAATTCAGTACCCAGGACCAGGTAAAAAGCCATCAATAATATTCAGGCAATATTGAGGCATTTGCATAGGAGCCTATATGCCAATAGAAGACGAATAATTCGATCCAGTAAAACAACAGAGAATTACAAACATATCAGTAAGTAGTAATATCCTAGTTTTAGCTGAAATTTCTTAGTATTTCATTCAATAGCTTTTAGCGAGATAATTTCTTATCACAAAGTGATAGTAGATAAAGAACTATTGAAAAACCAGGAGTCATTGAAGTGTTGTTTCGTCCTGGCTTGATACTGTACAATATTTCACTCCTACCATCCAATGCATGACTTTTCTGTTTGTAAAATCTGTGAAAAAGTTTTCTAACACTCATCAGTAACGTATATTGGTGATTAATAGTGAAATAGCGTAAGGAACATGAAAGAATTCGTTTACATTTATTCCATGAAATAACAGAATCACTTGTTTTGTTTTCACGTATCTATAATAGATTTATTCTCCGAGTTCGTTGGTTGGAGGCAATCCGTAGGAAGCCCTGGACCTAGGTTTCATGCTTTTTGGCACTCATCAGCAAGGCGTATCTGCAACCTCGACGGAACTGAGATTCGAACCCGCGTCACCCACTGTTGTAGTCAGCAACCAATCAGTACATGTGAACCAGTCCTACAGGAGGTCAGTTGCGGCCGAATAGCTCAGTGGTAAAGTCGCTGACTACAACACTGGGTAACGCGGGTTCGAGTCTCAGGCGGGACATCAGTTCCGTCGAGGTTGCAGACTCGTCTTGCTGACGAGTGCCAAAAAGCATGAAACCTAGGTCCAGGGCATCCTGCCGACTACCTCCAACCAACTAACATCTACTAATGTGCATCGCGACGCTGAGCTCCCTAGCTTGGTTGCCACATTGCAAATATGATCAGTAGAATTCGGTCTGCACTTAGGACTAGACAATATGAAATTGGTTGCACTCCCGTGACCAATCAACACGTTCTTCGAGTTCTTTTTTTCGTCGTGAGTATTACACTCCTGTGCCTATTTCATTTTGGCAGCTGTAACATTTACGACAGTGGAATGATTAGTAGACATGCTACCTGAAATGATATTTTGTTCTTTTAACAAATCAACTTTCTAGTATTGATACTGGGTGGATGATAAACTGACACCGACTGACAAAATCAACGTAGAACCTCGCACACAGGTGCATCAGCTCAAGTTGCCGCACTTCACAAAAGTACACAAAGAATAGGTGAACAGAGAAAGAGTGATATTCAAAGTGGACAAAGTTGTGTAAGAGAATAAACGATCTGAAGATAAAGCTTAGCGCAGATATTCAAGCTTCAAAAGATGTCAAGGAGTGAATACATCTATACCATTGTGACTTATTTTAACCCATGTCACCAAGTGTCTTTGATTACTGATTCCTTTCATCTTGGGGACTCCAGCGGGGTACTCTACATCTCCTAACATGGGTCAAGCCAAACGTCAGGGACTTCATTGGCTGGTGCCAGATCTTGATTTCGCCATCATGAACCGTTATCCATCCTAATCCAACTTCCCTAACGTGGTACGTTGAGGTAGGCGGAAGTTCGACATGCAGATTCCAAGCCATCTCAGTCAACTAAAGTTCACAGCCTCGCCAATCAACTTGTCTAGGGCGATGATAGAAGTTGAAACGAAAATCTGGGCTGCGGCCGGATTTGAACTAACAACCACTGTGTTTTTGACCCGATGCTCTACTAACTGGGACCAGATAGCTGACCGGGTTTTCATTTCACTTCAATCACCAACGGTTTTGTTCATCTGGTTTGAATCCTGCCGTGGTTCAAATTTTCATTTCATCTTTAATCATCACCCAGTAACACTTAGACAAGTCTACCAGACCACAGCTATCTCAGACAGTCAACCTAATGATCAACTTTCTGCTGTAAATATTGCGATCCATTCAGGCAGTTAAGTCTGATTGTATACATTCCTACCAATCTTTGTATTCGAAGCTAACGAATTTAAGTACGAATTGTTTTCATGATTTACAGTGAAGCGACTACGTAAATCACAACAGAACTCGAACCAATAGCCCCTGGATTACTGACTCAGTGCTGAATATCATTTTTGATTATAATGAACAAATAGCTGGATATCATGCGTTTACATGACAGCTAGACGGAATGCATGGTGACTGAATTGAAATTAAAACCTTGTCATCAGTTGAGTCTTTCATCTTACCTAGTACACCACTAACTCGGTAATTCGGAAACCGATGGGTCGAATCCTGGTATGATCCAGGTTTTTATTTCACCTCTAGTCATCATTCTCCATTTATAACACCAGTCTACTGAACCCCCACTATGTCAGATAGTTTTGTCAACTTATTAGTTTGGTACATTAGTACATCACTTGTTTTGTTAATTTGATTCCAGGCCGGAAACCCGGCGATCGCTGGTTCGAATCCAGCCACCGTACAAATTTTCATTTCACCTCCAATCGTCACCCATTGTCGATTCCATTATTGTTGTTATTGTTAACATCATCATCATTAGTGTCATTATAATTATAATTGTAATTTTTTTTGTTTGACAAAAGAATATGAAGACCTGAGTTGCCTGGATCGTGTGATGTATTTTTCTGCAGCACATTTCGAACTATCAGATTACACACGTACTTGTCATAGGTATTCATATGAAAATTCGTTAAGATACAAGGGGTGAGAAAGGGAAAAGAGGTCAAGTGGGATAGCTGAATTAAAGGCCGAATAATAATGAAAATCAATAGAGCGAAAATAGTAAACCGGACTTTCATAGTTTTCATAATTGAGTTCACCAAAGGAGATATAATGTAATAATAATTGAGATGGTTTAAACTTCCCAGTAGTTAAGGCCTTAACTAATTTGAAGATGTGTCCCCAACACGTTTTGTAAACTGGTCTAAAGGAAGTATCCACCTCAATCCTGTGACCTGTCTTAACGATATACTTCTTGATCCAGGAATGTAAACGTCTGCTACCAACGTGTATGGGTTCAGGTGATTTGATTTGCTTCTGAAGCCACTTGACAACCTTTACATGTATAGAAGACGATGATAACCTGCCTTTCTTGGACAATATTAATTAGTTGGTGCCAGGATGGATCCATAAAACAATCTATCTACAGAAAACCTACATGGACAGGGTAATATTTGAACTATCATAGCTTCTGTTCAGTTCAGTACGAGCAAGCCTTAATTAGGTGCTTATTCAGTAGAATTCAACGAATATGCACAAAAGGTACTTCGGAAGACGAAAGAGAAACATTGACGGGAACTCCGTTGGTAAGTAACTATCCACCAAAATTTATTAGGCAGCACAAAACATCCAGAGCGCTAAAACGAGCTCTTCACTTTGTTCCAAAGAAAGATGCCTTCATCAGTCTTCCATACGAAGGTGACCCTCACAGTGCAATCCTTAGACAGAGACTTAAGCCTGCTGTTGGAAGGATTTACTATGCAGCTAGGGTTCGATTAGTAGGAACCACCAATCCGGTCTATTTTCCCAAACTCTTACACTACGTTAACGACAGTATCACATGCCATGAATCTACCAATTAAAATGTACGTGTGGTGACATACATAGTGAGGACACATAGATCTACGCAAGTAAGGGGCTTAGAACACATTCTAAAGTGGCTTCAAAAACAAATTAGTAGTTAGTAGCAGACGTCCAAGTTTTTCGATCACGAAACGTATCGTTGAGACAGGTCACAGGATTGATATGGCTACTTCCTTTACAAAACGTGTTGGGGATGGTTCCTTAAATTTGTTGAGGTATTAGCTATTAGGAAGTTTAAACCACCCTTATGTGTTCAAAAACAATTTGTTATCACATTAAATCTCCCTTGGCGAATTCAACGATGAAAACCGAGTTCGATGTACTATTATTTTCGCTCTATTGATTTTCATTGTTATTATTATCGTACGAATACTTTATAAATTCTATACTTTCTTCCTTAAATCATATTTTCATAGTTTTCTTTTTTTTTTCTACCCGTTTTCTCATTTGTTTGAATGTAATCATTAATTGAAATTGATCAACTGAATGATAAATGTAAAATCATCTCAGCTGATTTACAATCACAATTTGTGGAAATTGAGAATATTGTCAACATAAAAGTGAATCATCCAACTGATATCGACTTATTTATGTCGGTACAAACTGATCTGATGAATCAAGATAGAATATTTTATACAGACTCCAACTGTTTCCAAGTAAATTATTTTCTGACTACTATTATGATTATTACTATTGCCGTAACACTCTGAATTGTTACCAATGAATTTGATAAGGAATAATTTTTATTAGAAATTAAACGAAAACTGTTTAATTCTTTGAACAGATGAATCCTTTTGAATGTTGTTTAAACGACAGAATTATTTTCATAGTTTGAATTCTATCTAATTATGAATAGTTTGCCAATAAGCGTTATGTTTTCAAGTGATGATACCTAAACCTCCTATATTTTTCTGGTAGCTGGTTCTAAAAACGATGCATTATGGTAGTTCTTGAGTGTAATTTGTCATGGGACTGAGGTTCAGGTGTGATGTGGTGCACAATTATTTCACACTTATTCAGCAAAAAAACTCTTACTTATTGGCTAACAATACTGTTATGTAGTGGCAAGGAAGCACATTGTTATGCCTTGTAGCAGATGATCGATATATTTCAGTAGCCAACTTTAGAAGACAATATGTAACTTGTCACTGTTTGATACTTGTAATCTCCCGTTGCTTTACTGGGTTCAATTGCTCGATCTCAGTTAGTAGATGGACTCCTATGCTGATACGTCACTAGTGCCTGACTACTCATCATGTTGATAGCTAGCAGTGGAATCGAGGATGTGCGTTTTCTCCCACTTGGTATTCGTAAGCTGGATGTACCTACATCCCATTAAGTGACATTGTTCTTACTGAGACTCGAACTCATCTCTCCAAACGTCAGACCGTTATCCACTAGGCCTCTAAGGCATGAAAGTCACCTCTTGTGCAACAAGCATCAGTTGTTGCTTTGATACTTTTAATCTCCTGTCGCAATGCTGAGTCGAATCCCTCGACCTCTGTCACTGATCCGTTTCAGTTAGTCTGAAGATTTAATTACTTCATGGAAACCCTAACGACCTAGATCCATAACTATTCACCTGTAATTATTTGACGGAAAACATCAAAAGTTCTTCAAATTCGTGGTAACAGTGTAATCGAATTCAAGAGTATTTATCATATCACCATTGATTCATTGAATAAAAACTTAATAGTCTATATATTCGAACCGCAATCTGCTGTGGTAATTATGCGTGTACTCTAATTCATATCCAACTTATTCAACACTAAATCATAGAATTTCACTATCACATCTCAACGTAATAGTTTTGTTTTTCCTAAGATAATTTGAATCCATTATATTCTTTACTTAGTTTTACTACTTAAAAAACGGTTTTCCGCTTATCTTTCAGTTTATTCAAAGACAGTATTATGATAAAATCCCTTTACAAGGAAATATTTATCCTATAGCATGTGGTGCCTATATAGAACAACAAAATAGTGATAATCCCAAAGAAGTTAAACGATTAAATATATTTACAACTCATTCAACTGGTGTTGTAAGTCCAAGAGTTGGACAACTTAATATTTGGCTTGATCGTCGAGCAAGTAAAGATGATTCACGTGGAATTGCATCAAATTTACAAGGTGAATGGATTGTTCAATCACGATTGCATTTATTTGCTGAAACAGTATTGTTGGATAAAAATATACAAAAGGTAAGTGGAATATTTTCATAAAAAAAATGGAAAGCAAACAAAAATATGTTTATTGTTCTATTGTTGTGTTTCTTTGTTTTATTATCAGTTCTTTATACTACTAACCAATTGAAATCACAGCAGTAATATACCTTTCTTGTCTATTCTAGGCAGTTAAGATATTTTAAGTTCGTATTCATCATGGACTGACATCGGATGGAGGAATTTTGGAAACTTGGGAGAACTGGATAGCTGTTTTATCCTCAGCAGTGCTTTACCCATGACCCCACCCCGCCAGGAATCGAACCCAGGACCTTCAGTTTCCGTGCCCAGCAAGTTGCCACGGTCTGAATCCTATGGTCCATATTTCCTACTTTTGTCAGTTCACTACATAGCGCAATCTTTATCCAATGCCATCGTTGAGTAACTGTCCTCATGTTCGACTTGGTTTGCCCCACCCCTGGTCACGACTTCTCATTGGAACTTCAGGAATCATCTCTCGAAGCTGGTCACAACTGAACACTAAAATAATTCAATTTAGGGTTTGTAAGGATATCAGTCCATGATAAACACCAAATTGAAATCAATAAATCCCCACAGTGCCCCAAATTAAGTTAAGATATTGCCTAGTTTATGTGTAAATCGATTGGATTCACTCCATCGATTTTCATTACACCCGTTAACTTTATCACATTTGTACATCACTAACTAAACTAACGAGGATTAGACAAAAAGTTAAACTGATTGATCAACAGATGAATCATTCACAATTATGTTGACTGTTGAACTCGGTTACTTACATAAATATACTCGGATTAGCGTATTTGAACTGTAGCTGAACTAAGCTGCTTTACATATTTCTCGTGTATTTTCGCGTAAACTGTTCGTATATATTATAAAAACTAAAAAGTAACTTTCATCATAAATTGACACAACTTTTTCATCTCAATGCAAAAATTCCCAGAAGTATGCACCTGTGATTTTAGCAACTCCTGGGGCTCTCTGCATTGTATTTGCTCGTGGGTGTTCACTCCTAAGGCGTCTGAAACTGTTCATTGCTTCTAGTTCATTTCAATCTATAATGGGAGTTATTGTTGGATAGTATTATAGTATGTGCTCTACTGCTCATATATATATATATATATATATATATATATATATATAATTATCCCATGCCTGTTTTACTCATCTTTCTCCCTATACATTGTAGGTTAATCCAAGTTTGACTATATTCGCTCAACAAATATTGAATGATCTTACGCAATCAGTGCATAAATTCCTTGTTCATAATTCCAAATTAAATAATTTACTAGTGCCAGAATATAATTTAATACCTACATCTGGTCTTCCATGTGATTATGAATTGGTTACAATGAAAACATTTCATAATCCAAAAATACCATCAGGTAATGTGAATTGAATCATACAACTTATTAATTATCATTTTCACTATCTGAAATAGCTATGGTTTGGCAGAATAGTATTGAAACTGAGTGGTGATTCAAGGTAAAATGGATGTTTTGACGGCAGCGAAATTCGAACCAGTGACCACCGGTTTTCCGGCCTGGTGCTTTGCTAATCAAAACGATAATCAATATGAACTGGGAAGTCCTAACTAGGCAGCCAGTAAGAGTACAATCAAACGATAGTAACGTGTCATGACTTCACATTTTAGTTGGCTAAAACCCTTGATGGTTAAAATGAAATAAAATTGTAGTCACTAGTTGAACCTCGTAGCTCAGTTGGTAGAGTATCGCACAGCAAACTTGGTGGTCACTTGTTCGAATTCGACCGGGTATTTGTATTTCACTTTGAATTATCATCCATTATCAACTAATTAATTGTTGAAGTCTTATTGACTGTCATCATTATGTTCATATCAACTTCCTTCTATTGGTATTCAAGATTATAACAACCTTTTAGTGTCATGTTTGTATTTCAAATGCAAAAGAAAATGAAATAAAGAAATGTAACTATTCCTAATTTTAACTCAGGAAACAGAAAAATCACTAGCTATAAGTTTATTTATTAGAAAACATGGAGACAATTACTTGCAAGGCGTCACCCTAGCAACAGCTAAAATAGTCAGTCACATTTCATTAATTTGTCTGTAAAAAGAGTTAATTGTTCACTTCACAGTGGTTGTTAGGTCAGCTTTTAAAACCACTCTATAAAAAGTGTACAAAGTTTAATATAAGGGAATAAGGAATCATTGACAAGTGAAGACTAAGGTCATTCATTCATCATTGGTTAATTATTCGAAATTCTGTTCTTCTTATCCAAACAGAGATCATATCTTTAACATATGTTATAATTATTACTATTTGTTGATATGCTTGTTTTACTGGATTGAATTGTTCAACCTCTGTTAGTATATGGTCTGGTATCTCAGTCATCTTGTAAATAATGCTTTGGCATTTGAATCAATGATTACGAGGTTCAAGTCTCAGTGGGAATCACAACACTCACTGGGGTGCAGGTAAATCCAGTTGACGAGTAAGTCTCAAATAGAATGAAACGTGCGTCCTAGTTTCCACTGCTAGCCACTAGGTAGGCTGTGAAATAACATCAAATACATTTATAATGTTAAATACTACATAACATTTAAAGTTAATGGCAAGAAATTTCACTAAAATATCAAAATGGTAAGGAGTTTCCCACTTTTCTTCCTTCATAAAATCGACATTGAAAATAAGAAATCCGTTGATCCTAAAGAGTTCTACTGCTAAAAGTAAGATTTCTGAAGTTCGGAGGGAAATTCGAAAAAAGGAGATTATGACTATGATATGATAGCTTTTGGAAAAATATCCACTCAATGACGTCATTTATCGTAATTTTTGATGATAAATAGAATAGGCGTGATTGAGCTACTTTGCTTACGTATCTTTGGTAATTCGTACATATAGGTCACCTTAGACTCTATGAACTTCGAGGTTTAAACAACGAGATAGTGTTACCAGCTCTCACACAATAGGTGTGGCTCTTTTCTAGGACATGTCTGATGCATAGCATGCCGCCGTTTACCCCAAAGTGCGATGTTAATCAAAATGAAATTTAGTTAGAAAAATGGAATAAAGATATAGCACCTATCCATGAACCTTTTTACGGTTGGTCTGAGCCAAGCAAGCTGTTTTTGAGTACTTTTCTGGTGTCCTTAAGATTTTAGTTATCACTAGTTGGAGACTCTTTGTATGTTATGGTTCAGATTCATGCAGGTGTGTACACGTTTCGTCATTTTCAATATTTTACTCAACTTTCGGTTACTTTCCTCTCTCCTTTTATACATTTTCCTCTTCATTTATGCCATTCATCTTTTATCCACCTTTCTGTGCATGTTGGTGTAATGCACGTCTGTATCATCTACATATATTCGTTTACCGAAGTGCAGCCCAGTTATTTAGGGAGATGACCAACAGTCAGTAGGTCTGGGGTTCGAATCCCGCCCTGCCTGTCGAGAACTTTGCAGCCAGATGAGTAGTATCACTAGCCCCTACACCATAGTTGTGGCTCATCGTCTACAGCACGAATGTGCACAAGACTGCTGAGTGTGTTTAGCTTCGTTTCTGTTTACTGACTTGGTAAAAATATGTTCCATCTTGATCTGCTGAACTTTTTTTCACTATATGAATATTTCTACGTCTTATTTAATCCAAGGGGTTGATGTGAACCAGTCATAAAGTTAATCACTTAAGAGTAATGTCTTCAGCTGTTTTTGCTATATTAGTAATACTGATTTAGATCTCTGAAATAACCAAAGTGTCTTGTTGTTGCTGATAAATCCTCTTTGTCAGTAGTACATTCATGCTCAGTAATAAGTCTCACCAGTAAACTGCTCCATAACGTGATTAATTTGATCATCTACCAAATCACACGATCGCAGCAAAGAAAAATTTTCCTTTTTCAACGAAATCATTCTCTTAGCCGTATAGTCGTGTATATATGGTAAAGAGGATAGAACACTGCAGAGAAATTACTGGAAAGAGACTATCAAGGTCCATGAACCGAGTATTCTTTGCCGCCAATCTTAGAATCACATTCTTCTACCAGAAAGTCATTTGTCAGCACTCAAAGGATAAGGCGGAGCATTGGGCGTTATCAGTGTGTATATCAGTTCACTGGCTCCTATGAAGCCGAGTATATCAGTCGTACAATGACCCAACTTATCCAACCCGCTGGCGAACTCCATCCATCTTGGCTGACAAGTGGAGAACGGAAATGGATCCTCAGCTCTATAACAGAACACTTAGTAAACTCGAGGACATTTGTCTCTCCCTAATGAGTCCTTCAAAATTCTGTACAAAGTGTAACCAAGCCACTCGATATGAGTGAGGTTAAGATATACGTGCCTAGCTGAAGCATTCAAAAATTCAAACCATCATTATACATTCATAAGCCGTATGCACAACTTTTTTCTTTGCCAGGGTCATCGTTAATTATCGATCACTCTAAATAAACCACACATGACGTAACCGTCTTTATCTTTGGTAGTTGAATGAAGGCAATCGGCATGTTGCCGTGGACTTAGGTTTCGTTGTTGTCGGCATTCATCAGAAAGGCATATCTGCAGCCCTGATGGAACTGATGTCCCGCCTGAGATCCAAACCGGCGTTACCCAGTGTTGTAGTCGACGACGTTATCACTTAGCTATTTGGGTCAAGGCTGACTTCCTGTAGCACTGGATTTGATATATTAATTGGTCAGCGGAGAGTAACCAACTTCATATTGTCTTGTCCTCAGTGCTGATTGAATTCTATCGACCATGTTGCAATTCGGCAGCTCAACATCGTGATGCACTTTGATTGATGTTAGTTGGAGGGTTTCAGTCGGCAAGAAGCCCTGGACCTAGGTTTCCTGCTTGTTAGCACTTTTCAGCAAGACTACCCTCCGGTAACCAATCAATCTATCTTTATTTTGTAATCATCCTGTTGATTTCCACATTACTTAACTTTTCTTTGTGACTTTTGACAAGTAATTACTCCAAAAAATTCTATCCTTTTTACCATATGTGTATTCACGAATGTACAGCTAAGAGAATGATTTCATCGAAAAGGAAATTTTCTCTTCTCTCTCTACAATCGTATGTTTTAATGTGATTTTTCGACATCTTTGAAATATAAAATTAGTTGAGTATATTATTACCATCATCAAGTTTTTCTTGTTTGTTTTGAAATTCACTTTTAGCTTTCCATGCTGCACCGAATACACAAATTGGTGTTATTATTCGACGTTATTCATCAGTTTGCTATGCAAATTATTTACCAAAAATTGACTTATATTCACAATGTTTCAATCCAGTTGTACAGAATAAAGTGAGAATTTCTTTTTTTTACATTGGTCTCTAGCGTTCTTTTTGTTTGATTGGATTGTTTTACAAGGTTTTTTCAGTCTATTTTGATGTATCCTTTCGCCTTCTCCCACCCCGCCCACTACTACTCGCACTTTCAGCTATTGCATAGATCATCTTTAAGAGCTAGAATTAGTTGGTTTGTACAGTTCATTTTCGTCCAATTTCGGTCAGCAACTGAATGGTATCGTCACATAATGTTTTTGACTTTCAGGTGCTTGTATACGATTATTGTATTACATTTGTATTGAGTTATCTAGATTCGATGTTCCAGTTTTATTTAGGTTTGGGTATGATAAATATTCCAATCACCGATGCATTCCACAGTCTATATCGATAAATTCTCATATGAATGAATGAAATCTAACTAGTAAGCTTGTAATGTTGTTACTTGTATTGTGCCGTCGTTGAGTCGACTAAATTGATCGGTCTTTATTGGCATATAGGCTCCTGCACGGATGCTTCGTTATTGCCTGTCGTCTTGATTATATATTAGTGGTGGAGTTTCGCCCTATTTGCTACTCATCAGTTGGATGTACTTACCTCGCAGTGAGCGATATTGTTCCCACTAAGACTCAGACTCGAGACCGATTGCTTCAAATCCCAGACCATTATTCACTAGATCATCGCTTATTTATGTCTATATAGTCGGATATAAAGCACATTTTCCGTGCGTGGTACATTGGTCAATCAAGAATTAACATCCAGTGATACCATTATCATACTGGGAACATTAAAACGGCATCAACAAGTTCAAATGTATCACCAATAAAATGCTTGCATACTTGTCATTGAGTTTCCTCAAGAATTCGTGAGATCTATGGGGCTATGGAGAATCTGACACATCGAAAATGGGGCGTACAGGTATTCCAGGTTCATTTAGCTTAGGTAAACTGATCAGCTGTAACCATGAAGTTTCTTTTCATTCATTTTAATACTTCTTTCTGTAAGTTATTCTTCAACAGTTACAGTTCTCTTCTTTTCTGCATAAGGTTTCGAAAATTTAATGCTATCCGACAGTATATCCCTGTCAGTCGAGTAGCATCATCCTTCGTATTTTCTAATTATAGATGTTGTCAAAAAGATATGAAAGGTGTGAACACTGAACAGATCTGAAAAGTAGTTCAAGTGTTTGTATGGGATTCCTTTGATGTATGTCATTTCTGAACTGAAGTCTCAGGTGAACGAAACACCTAACAAGTGTTTTCTTCATTTTATTCGACTGGCTAAGTCTTTCACTGCCTAAAACTGACTCATTGATCCTTCTGCAAAACTCTAAAGTTATTTATTTTGATGCATCCGATTGTAAACAACCGGTAATGATGCTGTCATTATTATCCTCTGGAGAGCGTTGCTAATGATTATCATCTGATTAATGTAGCTCAGTACGTTTGTTTACGTTTTATGAGGCACTTGTGTTGTGAGTCACTATTTGCTTTTTTAAAATTTTGTAAATAGACGGGCACGCAGTCTGTTGTCTAGTAACTGCTAGTTGAGTGTTTCAAATGGCAAATTTTATATCTTTGCGGAACTCATCAACTAGGTTTACTGGATTGACAACGGAACATTGTATATACCGCTTGCTTGCTCAGTTGATCTCATTGAACTTCATATATGCGATTAACGGAAATGTGTTTGAACTAGTTTTCAAACACTTTGATCAGTGAGCAGTAGCTCTACAGTAGGTAATACTGATTTGGAGCCACAATTCACTGCTGATTGATCACATATCTATATCCTAGAACTATTGCTCGGTATTTTATAGTTTCAGACTTTCGACATTTAACCGATGTAACTGAAAGCGTAGGTAAGCGTCACAAGCTCTGAACTAATATAAGCATGTTGGTTATGAACTCTGAGGACAAAAGAGGTACACAACGACTAAAGACTTTGACCATCTTAAAACAGTTACACATATGATTTTACAAGCTATCACGCTGCACGTTAGCACAAAGTGGGGAAATCAGCAGGAGGGAAGACAAAATAATGATAACTGCAGTTATAAAATACTGAAAACACTTAAGTACATAACGGAATATTACCCGAAGGTTTATTAATTGATTTCAGGTTGGAATTCATCATAGATTGACATCAGTTGAAGAAGTATAGGAAACCTGAAAGCACTGGACAGCTGTTTCGTCCTAGCATGGGACTCCTCAACGGTGCGCACCCACGACCCCGCCAGGGATCGGACCTTCGACCTTCACGTTCCGTGGCCAGCACGTTACCATTGAGCCACTGGGTCTGAATCCAATGTCCGTGTCTCCAACTTCTGTCAGTTCACGACATAGCGCTACCGCCACCCAATGTCGTCGTTCAGTATTTGTCCTCATGGCCACCAGGTTTGCCGCATTGATCACGACTTCTCACTGGAACTTCGGGAATCACCTCTCAAAGCTAGTAAGATTTCAAGATTCTAGAAGAAGATGTAGCTTACGTGCAACTACACAATTTCAATTAATTCTTCATCAATTCCCTCAAAGTTTTTAACGATTGTTTTTAGAAATCACATGAAAATTAGCGTAGAAGTCAACGCTTGTATACACGGTCCAGCTGTACTGTTAACTAGTCCGCTGATTGTTTCCACTGTCTTGTTTTAATTACTCCTAGTGTTTGTCCAACTGAATCATACTTCAAGTAACATTTTACATCTGAGTAGATTATGGTTTGGCATATGTAACGCATGCCTCTTTTGCACTTCAGCTTCACAGTATTCCTACAGTTACTTCATAATACTAGCAATGCATTGAAATTAGAAATGTTTCACAGCAGTTGAATTCAAAAGAGTCGTTTGCTATTTATACAATATTTGTTCTAAGTAATCTTAGTAACCTTCAAACTGGAATGGTTTACTGAACTTGTTTAAATGAATTCAAGTGAAGTATTCTAGAAATTATTATTGTTTTTAAAAGGTTAACCTAATTTTTATTTTATATTATAGCTTGATATAAAAAATCTATTTGGTTCTATTCAACTATCTTATGGATTGCATACTAATCTAACTATGATTCCATTACCTGTACGATCTGATAGTGGTAATGATGATAGCAATAAACATTTGGTTAAAAAACTCAGTCATATTCATGTGAATCCAATGGAACTTGAAGCATTCTATCTAGTTTAAAGAAATTTAATGAGAATTTATAAGAAATAATCAACTTTACTTCGATTATATTAAGTAATAGGATTATCCATTATTTCAACTTAAGGTTTATATTTGAAATATTGTGGAAATTCTTCCTTTTTATGTTACTGTTTACCTATGTACATTATAGTCAATTAAATATTTCTCCTGTAAATAATATATTCTTTATATACTTTACTGTAGATTGTTTTCTGCATATTTACTTATTGCAACACAATTTTTCTCTTCTCCATTTTAAAATTATTATTATTTATGAGTGGAATAATGAGTACAAGTCATCTTGTGTCTGATTTGTATCGTTTCTTTTCATTTTCCTAACAGTTGTGGTGTTTGTGCTCATCACATATCTTTATGGAACTTATTTCTTGCTTGTATGTGTACAGATGTCTTATACATACACACACACACACACTATATGAATTACACAATTCTCTATATAAACATCGTTTATTTTACTTGTGTTTTCATTTGTTTCAAATTTATTGTTTCGTATTAAAGACAAAAAAAAGAGAACAATTTTACAAAATTCATTTCGATTTTATCAATTGTGCAGAAATCATAGGTGTATTTATTGCCTAGAGCGGCAATTCGTGAATGTTTGAGATGTGTTCTTCACTTATTATTATTATTTTCTTCTGGGTTCCTAGTGGAACATAGGGCTTCAGTAGTACGCCTCCATTGCACTCTGTTCTCTTCAGTCTTTTGAACCTGGCTCCACAACTACCCACAAGCTTTCATTTCTTCCTAATACCATCTCCTTCATGTCACCCTTGGACGTCCAACTCATCGTTTCCCCATTTGGATTCTACTCGAGGGCCTGGTTTGGTGCTTGATGTCCCCAGTCGGCCTTCTCAGTGTATGCTCAACACATCTCCACTTTCTTCCACTGCATATTTGTTGAGTGATAGGTTCTTGGCTGGTTCGTTGCCAGCCAACCAGAGTTCGTTGTTGCTTATTCTCATTATTCTGAACATCTGATCTGATCTTCAGTATCGAATGAGCGTAGGCGGCAGCTGTTGATGAATGTCTGCAGTTGTTTGTTGGAAAGGCTTTTCGTGCCACGCGAAGTTTCTGAACCATCACATAGAAGCACTGACTTCACGTTGGTGTTCAAATCCTGATCTTGTTCACGCTTTGTGCTGAGTGGAGTGCAGTAGATCTCTACACTGATTATTTCCGATGAGTGGAAGCCTGTGTTGCTGTCTTTTCGATCCTGGTTTTGTCGTCCTCGTCTGTGCCACCGCCGCCACCTGTAGTTGAAAAGAAGCTGCCAATTTGGGTAGGTGAAGGAGATAACTTCCTTCAGGTTTCTCCCTTTCATGGTGACTGGAGATTGTTGTTGTTGGTGGTGGTGTTGGTTTGGTATCTTCATCACCTCCATCTTCTCTCCATTCACTTGACGTCCTGTTTTCGCTGCCTCGCCTCTTCTGTGAACTTGTCAGTTTTCGCCTATAGATCTTCGAGTTTGTGCGATATTAGACACAAATCATCTGTGAAATCCTAATCTTCTAGGGCTTTTTCGTCGCTCCTCACAGTTTGTTGCATGATCCAATCGAGTCGCCCACAATCAGGAAGATCATAGGTGATAGATAGTGGGCAGCCTTGTCTTACTCCTGTCTTCAATTCATAGGCGTCACTGAGCTTTCCATTGTGGATCACTTGGCATGTGGAGTCGTTATATAGCTGTTGAATGAGGTCGATAAAGGTTTGTGGCACCAAATTCGTAGTTTTGAAGTAGCTGCCAAATTACTTCTCGGTCGACGCCTTTTCAAAGTGGATGAAGTTGAGGTAGAGAGTTGACTGCCATTCTATACTCTGTTCTATGATGATGCGTAGTGTTGCGATTTGATCCGCACCTGATTTGTTCTTCCTGAAGCCAGCCTGTTCCGGTTGTATTTTGAATCCAGCTTGTCCCTTAGTCTCGCCAGGAAGATGCGGCATAATATTTTGCTCACTTGGGCTGGACAGAAGCATGATTCCTCGCCAGTTCTCGCAAAGGCTCACGTCTCCCTTCTTTGGGAGTTTGACAAGGTAGCCCTTCTTCCAGTCAACCGGCAGGTACCTTTCCTTCCTTCTTTGCAAACCTTCTGCAATAGTGGTGTGAGCATGTCCGCTGTTGTTTCTGCGTCTGTCTTCAGTGCTTCTGGTGGAATTTCATCTGGTCCTGCTGCTTTCCGGCATTTCAGCAGTCTTATGGCATTCAGGACTTCTGCTTTTGTCAGAGGGCCTGTGTTCACTGGTAGTCTTGCGGTTGCTGGTGGTTTTTCCGGATGAGTTGCTGGTGGTGGTCGATTCAAGAGATTTTTGAAATGATCAACCCATTGTTTCCTAACCACATGCAAAATTTTGTTCCAGGACTGGTTTTCAGTGATGCCATGTCTAGCCATAGGGAAATAAGTGATTCACTGCGCTGACCACTTCACTGGGAAGCTATATCAGCCCCGGTGGGCCAGTGACAGACGAAATCTCTGCATGGATACAAAAGGCTCAACAAGCTTTCATCAACTTATGCCATCTGTAGTACTGCTGTGATATCCGATTACTTATTAAGGGCTGAGTGTACTCCGCTCCAGTTTTCTCTGTTCCACTGAATAGCTATGAAACATGGCCATTAAAGGCAGTGCACACGAGGCTTTTGGTGTTTGACAACCGTTTCATAGACCGTAGTTCGTGGTGTCACCATGTGAGTAACGCAGACATCGGGTGTATAGTTTTGGGGAGGAGAGAAAAGTCAGTTGATAAAGTCATTAGCCGTCATCGACTGAGATGGCTGGGACGTGTATTACATATGCCTAGCCGCCATCTGCGTCGTCACACAATGTTGGCCGAAGTAGATTCAGGCTGGAAAAAGGCTCGAGGCGGCATAAATGTATAAAGTCTTTGACTGTTGGTTTGAGCCATGTAAGGCGATGCAGACTAGCCGGTTGGGGTCCGCGAGACAAGTGGAACCAGTGGTTGGAGATCCCAAATTATATGGCTCAGAACCGATGTGAGTGGCACAGATGCATCCACAAATTATCCTCATCTTAACCGCTATAGTTAATCTTATCATCTCATTCCTTCCCCCTCTCTTTACTACTTTCTACTGCTTTTGGTCTCTTTTTCTCTCTTTCCTCATCTTTCATTTTATTGCCTTGTTACTTGACGTGCTGATATTAGGTCGGCCATTCGGACCGTTACTCAGTAAATCCTGGTCCTATGTTTGATTTTGATGATGATGAAACACTATATTCATCAGGCTGATTCCTCTGGGGTTATCACATGCCAAATCCCCACTTTTCTTGAAGACTGGGACAATGAGTGATTCACATCAGTCATAGGTGATTGTATCTGACTAGCTAACTTTGCAATTAAGTTCACTAAAAATCCTCCACCATTGTCATTTAATACCTCTTGAACTAGTCCGTCTAATCCTGTTGCTCTTCCTCGTTTAAAATTACTTACAAGCGTTGGGGATCCTATCTCGATGTTTTATTCAGGCTCCGACTATTGCTTACGATATAACATACAAGGATTAGCCATTTGACCTGAATAACTCAATGATAACATCTCTGGCTACAACACTAGCTGGTAGAGGTTCGGATCTCGTAGGGGACATCATTTCCCTCGACATTGCAGATACACCATGCTGACGAGTGCCAACAAGTACGAAATCTAGGTCGAACAAGGCTTCCTACCAAGTGCCTCCAACTCAGTAACGTCCATCAAAATGGTACCGCGATGGTTAGCCTGCCAGCTTGGTGGTCATATTGCGAAATGATTATTATTATTATTACCATTAGTCCCTTGAGTTCCTAATGGAACATAGGGCTTCAGTAGCACGTCTGCAGTGACCTCTGTTCTCTGAAATCTTTTGAACCTGGCTCCACGACAGCCCACAAGCTCTCATTTCCTCCTCGCACGACCTTCTCCATGTCACCCTCACCACGGACACCCAACTCGTCGCTTCCCATGGGGATTCCACTGGAGCAACTGGCCTGACGCGTGATGTCCCCAGTCGGGGACATATAGTTGTTGAATAAGACTGATAGAGGTTTGCAGTATTCCGTAGTATTGAAGCAGTTTCCAAATTACCTCTCGGTCGACGCTGTCAAAGGCCTTCTCAAAGTCGATGAAGTTGAGGTAGAGAGCTGATTGCCATTCTATACTCTGTTCTATGATGATGCGAAGCGTTGCGTTGTAATTTGGTCCGCACATGATTTGTACTTCCTGAAGCCTGCCTGTTCTGGTCGTAGTTTTGAATCCAGTGCATCATTTAGCCTCTCCAGGATGATGTCGCTTAATATTTTGTTTGCTTTGGGTGGACAGGAGCGTGATTCCACGCCAGTTCTTGCAAACACTGAGGTTTCCCTTCTTCGGCAGTTTGACAAGGTAACCCTTCTTCCAATCGATGGGCAGGTACCTTCTCTTCCTTCCACACCTTCTGCAATAGTGGTGTGGTGTGAGCATGTCCGCTGCTGTTGTCTCTGTGTCTGTTTTCAGTTCTTCTGGCGGGATCCCATCTGATCCTGCTGCTTTCCCGTATTTCAGTAGCTTTATGGCGTTCAGAACTTCCATTTTCGTTTAAGGATTTATGTTCACTTGTAGTTCAGTGGCTGGGCTGTAGGTGGTATTTCTGGCCGAAGTGCAGGTGGTGGTGGTGGTCGATTCAAGAGCTTCTTGAAGTGGTCGGCCCATTGTTTCCTTTGTTTCTCTTGTTTGGTAATTAAATTTTCGTCATCATCTTTTATTGGTTGCATCTGTGTTGGTCTCTTCCATCCCAGATAGTAACCTAGTTATTTGATACAATGTTGTCAGGTCTCTGTCTCTCCTACTAGCAGTCTGTTCTGCTACACTTGCCAGTGTTTCGTGGCAGTGTCTTTTGTCTTTCCGTACGCTCTTCTTCACTTCTTTGTCCAGTGTAGTGTTTTATACATTGTGCTCAGTTCCTCTTGTCGTTGAGCATCCTTGCACTGGTTTATCTTCTGCTTCACCATCCTCCTCTCCCTGCTCTATCAGCTTCCATGTATCCATTGAGATCCATTCCTTGTCTTCTTTCTTCCTCCTTCCTAATACGGTTGGGCAGGTTTCTTTCCACATAGCTTTCAAAGACTTCCAGTGTTCTTCCACACAGGTTTCTTCATTGATGTTCCTCGATGTCTCCCATTTTGTCTTGATGGCTGGCTGCCGTGAAGATTTCCTTTGTAGTTTCATCCTTCAGTTTCCGAGTGTTGTACTTGAACTGCGGTCTATCATCAGCTTCCTTGAAGGCTTTTAACTTGATTTGGAAGGTTTCTTGCACCAGATGGTGAGTGGTCTGAACCTACATCTGTTCCTCTTCTTGACCTTGTCTCAAGTAGACTGCGTCTCCATTTTCTTGAGATTAAGATAAAGTCGATCTGATTTTTAGTGTCCATTTGGTGAAATCCATGTCGCTTTGTGGATATCCTTGTGCTTGAACACAGTGCCTCACTCCAATCACCAAATCGTTGAATGCACAGAATTCTGCAAACAATTCTCCATTCTCATTCATTTCACCGAGCGCTTCTCCACCCATGGTTAGTTCTCTTCCTGTGTTGTCTGCTCCGAGTTTGGCATTCATGTCGCCCATTAGAATTTTGATATCGCCAACTTGAGTGGTGTCTTGTCCAGTGTTGATTACAGTTGTCTGTAGAATTCCTCCTTTTCCTCTTGCTCTGCATTATTTGTAGGTGCATAACATTGTATGATTGTGACCTTCCTTCCTTTTGAGTTGAATCTTGCTGTCATGATCCTGCATGAGGAGATTGGTTCCCACTGCATGAGAGCCTTCGATGCTGTTGGGGACATCATGATAGCCACTGGGAAACTCAGTGTGCTCGTGGTTGTTGTGTCGTGTGGGTGACAGTATCGGAGTAGATTATTGATTTTCCAGTTGACAGTTTGGAGAGTCCACTCCCATTCCATCTGCTTTCGCAAATTCCAAGCACTTCAGTGTGATACCTTCTCATCTCTTTTGCAATCCGGGCTGCCTTACTGGGTTCAAACATCGTACGGACATTCCATGTCCCCACGTTTACTTTCGCTTTCATCGAGGGAGAGAAGACCCATCGGCCAATTGGCTTCCCGAAGGCTTTCACCAACTGGCGTCATTTCGCCTCTCCGATTCCAGCGAGGAATAATTTTGTTATTATGTTTTATCTATCGTTTGTGCTTTGAAGTTTCTTTAGGGGTTAGATTTGTTTTACGGGGTAGGGTTGCTAGCCCTATGCCCAACCTTCCCTGTATACCCGGGCCTAGGACCGGCTAGTAACTAGTGAACCAGTTAACCAGGCTAGGTTCTACCGAAACTTGCATTTCTGCATATTTATTATCAAAGAGAATTTACAGCATAAATGGCAGGTAACATCAACTTTGAGTCTTTTGTCGTGACTGAACACCCCCACATTGGTGAATGATGAGGATAAATGACAGTAGCCCACATTGTTTGATCTAGTATTCTATGCTGATTAAATATTATCAAGTATGTATAGTGCTTTAGATTGCTGGACAACACGATGGAATTTTCATAGCGTAGCGTAGCAGGATTCAAATTTATATAATTTTGAACACCTGTGGCTCGAATAGCTTGACATACTAAATATTAATTTACTTGATGTTGCGAACATGCCTTTACACTGATGGCTATTAACTAAGATTGTACTTTAGATGAAACGTTTTCCGATTCTCAACAGTATTCATCCTTGTCATGCCCTCTGTACTATCTCCTACTATCAACATAGTCGCCTATACGTTTTCTTCAACTTTTCACTCCGTAACTTTCACAATATCATCCTTGGTGTGAAACCATGTGCTACAAACTCTACGTTTAAGTTATGATCATGAGAACTTCATACTCTATGAAAAGTTGGTTCATTGGTTAAGACTGTATTTCAAGTTATAAATAAATTGTGTTTCTTTTATATGTACAAACTTTAAAGATATGATTAGTCGAACCAGTTTATCTCTAGCAAGTCTGGATACTGAGTATACAGTACATGTAAGTATACAAATGTATGGATAACGATAAGCCGTCGGGTGCAATCCTCATTACAACGTAGTGTTCATCTAAACGTTTGTGTATTTACTCAAACTGCATGGAGTGTAACATACAATGATGCTCACATCTAAGCGCCCATCGACTTAAGTTTGCATGATGCGAAAGTTGAGTCTTACTAAAACGGTTTACTGAAGATAGACTATCCAGATAGTCATATTAGCCACTCCTAATGTGAGTGCTTTGACATGAAATGACGTAAGACGTGCACTGACAGTTTGAAGACAAAACTACTAATTTCATGTTTTAGGAGCAATCAGCCGTCTATTTGTTACAATATGATAGTTATGGATACTTCTAATCCGAAAGAGGGAAAGAAGTCGTGTCTACAAGGAGTCCTCACTTTCATCAGAACTGACTGATACGGTCATAAATGTTCTGAAAGGTATTGTAAATGAGTCATTCGGTAATTCCAATTATCGATCTATTAAGCTGGCGAAATACTCAACTGTCGATCAAATGAAGAGAGAATAATCCTCTATTATACTTAATAGACGAGTAACAAGGTGGTGAAGGCTCCAAATTACAGGTGTTTGACCCTATATTTCTTCTAACGACTGCTTCTGGCAATTGTCATAAATTATGAACACGTCTGCTGAACAGCGGCTATTTCAGATGACCTAATTAATAACCAGTACGGTCCTCCACCTCTCTAATGCAGCAGGAATTGGATTGGGATAAGATCTGGCTGAGCAGCTAGTGTAGTCAGAATGATGTATATTGGATTCACATAGTATTCGGGGAAACCGTCAGTAACTGAAGTGAAGTTAAGAACGAACTGGTAGTTGGTAGAGCTCCAGACCAGTAACACAGAAGCTGCAGTTCTGATACCTGCTACAATTCAGGTTTTCAGTTACCAACCAGCATGAATCATGAGACATTAAATACGTAATTCTGACGTTAGAAACTGAATTCGAAAAGTGTTAGTCCATGAGTTAAAAACGAAAGGCAACGCACTTCGTAGCCACTTTCACATCCCAGTAGCAGGCAATGGGTTACACCAGTTATTTAAGGGCTAATGGTACTACCCCGGGTAAGCGGGGCGAGGCTCGAACCCGTCGTTCATTGGTTGAGAGTCAGCTACATAAACACTAGTAGTAAGTAGTGATCTAAGTAATGAACGTATGTGTTTAGTTGCCTCCTAGCAATACACAATGTGACTAGTAAATAGTAATTGGAAGAAACACACGGGTAAAAAGCATCGTACATGCTGAAATAGGTACTTATATATTTGTACTGAGAAGATAATAAAAGTAAAAGAAAGAAAGCATAGGAGAATATGCACTACGATTCATACAAAAGTTATTATTTTGTTTCAAATACACTTCAATCACTATGATTATGATATGAGGATGAAATTTTTATATGATGACAAGACATATGCATGTATAATTTTGTAAAAAGCATAAGAGTGAGGGAAAAACAAACAGACAAATAAAAAAGGGATCAAAAGAAAGACAAAGAACACATGCCATGATCAAATATCAAGTGAAGAAAAGTTAATAAGCAAAGAACACAACAAAAATCTCAGTAGTAGTAATATGAGTAATTTTTCACGGTAATTTTGTAGTCATGGCTATCAAGACTGACATCAAGTGACTGTGAATAACAAATGAGTAAAGACTTGAACTCACAGTATAAATATACACCATTTACAGTTATAGTCAACATGAAGTACAATAAAGAAAATACATGCAAGAATTGTTTCACTCTTTGAATGACCCAACATGTATACCAATAGTCATCTTAAGAAGAAGAAGAAGAGGATGAGGAGGAGTAAACTGAACAGAATCAACCACACGAAAAGAAAGTTTAGTGAAACAATAATTGAACCAAAAAAGCTAATAAAAAATATAAAGATAGCAGAAAGGGTTTAATATAACACACAGAAAATCGACAAGGTTAAGATAAACAACATTATTACTTAATGAATATATAATGGCGCTAAAATTGAACAGTTCAAGGTTATATAGTTGAAAGAAGAAATATATCTATGACCAATTACGTAAATCCATATAGACAACTACATACAATAATATTTATACATAAATGACATTTGGAAAAGTAAATATAGAAATGAAAGATTTACTAAACTCCATTTTTTTTTCTTCAATAAAATGATTGAAATAAAACAAATAGAAATATGTCTTCATTAATAATGGAAGGCGGTAGTGGCTTTGTTTTGTTTTCTGCCTGTTATGTAGAAATACTATTCAACGGAGAGAATTATTTTTCTTTACATTTAATCGATAAAACCTGAGTTATCAAATAGAAAGAGAAGGAATAGCTTTTTACTCAATAAGAATCGATAAATGAAAGACATTTAGATAAAATATGAAATGGATTAGTCAGTAAATAATTATGATATATATATATATATATATATATATATATATATATATATATATATATCAGTAAAAATTCATTATAGCGTAAAGTTACTTCAATGTGTTTTAGTATAAAGTAGCTGACGACTGATCAATATATGTGTAAAACTTGGACACTGTGGAAGAATTTAATACCATATGAAATTTGTTTATTTGATGTCTAGCTCAGGGTGATATAGTGCTATTTACTTAATGACGACGTTTCGAGCATAGACTATTGCTAATAATCATATCAATTTGATTACACCACTTTCGCCATCTGATTTTTATAGTCTCCTGTCATCTAAATATTCTTTGTGTTTATTGGTAGTAAAATTTTCTATATCTCTGGTATAGATATTGCATCATGTCTATTATATGTGTTGGGTCAAGTACATAAGTCATACTAACGGGTAGGGGTCAATTAGAATAGTGGAACATAAGAATTTAGCTAAATATACAATAACAGACCTGAATAAGATCATTAACTTAGAAAAGAACTCGGCTATTGCAATGCATACACATACCCACGCAATAGGATGGATGGGATGAAACCACAGTCCAATATAATTAGGTGGAGAGAGAGAGAGAGAGAGAGAGATTGACTAGTGAATCTTTATTCATCGAATCGACACCCAACACATGTAATAGACATGATGCAACATCTATACCACAGATATAGAAAATTTTACTATCAATAAACACAAAGAATATGAGATGACAGGAGACTATAAAAATCAGATGCCAAAAGTGATGTGATCACATTGATATGATTATTACTAATAATCTATGCTTGAAACGTCTTCATCAAGTAAATGATACAGTATCACTGTTTGTTATAAATTAAATTGATAAATCAAAGGTGACAAGTGAATCAGAAACACGAATAGCATGAGCTAACATTACACTATTATAGCTGAACTTCATAATCATGCGTCAGATTTAGGAGGTTATAAGAAGTTTAGACACTTGGATTCAACAAAAAGTTATAGCTTCACTCAGAATCTAAATGTGTAAATCAACTTTTGCAACTAATCCTTCGCAATATAAGGAAGAAGAAAACTCATACTTATTAGGTTTGTAAAACCTAAACTGTTGTAGCATATTGATCATTTGGAGCAGAGACACTTATCTACTTGTTTGACAAAATGAAAAGTCATGACTATATAAGCCTTTGGTCCTCCTGATAACTAGCCAAACAATAGATGATGTTGTGGCATACTCATCGAGGCTTCTGATATTCACTAAATCAATGGTTCGAAGTATTCACTGCCTACCGAAGATTAAGCAGTCAGGTAATAAGTAATACAGACTCATACTACCAGTGTGTTCCATTTTCTGCTGCACAAGAATCGTTAATGAGGTACAACAGCACATTACAATGATACGGCACCACTTATTGAATTATCTATCATATACTAAAGCACAAAGGGTTTATATATATTGATGTGCTAATAACAAGGAGACCAGATCTTTCAAAATATCGATCTATAGGAAAAAAACGTGGAATGGGTAGCTAACAAACTTCCATAGCTTTGTTCCAATAGAAAGGAAAAGAAGTTTGGTTCATACTCTCGAATAACACGTTCGAAGAATCTGTACAGGAGATAGTGTAGAGAATGAGCCAAAAATATTGAAACAAAACTTCGTGTAACAATGAACAGATACCAAAAAAATTGGATATAACCACTATGCCAAGAAAGATCTGTATCAATTTCAGGTCATAAGATCGACTCATTGGTAATATCGAATTTATTCAAAAAGGCTTTAGAAATTAGAAAGAACACCTCTTAGCAGAATCTCCTCACATAAACTGGAATCAAAATTGTCTACACAGGAATGAGCGAGTAAAACGTAGTTTCACCCGGTTTCAACCCACCCCTACATACTGACATAAACCAACATACAAACGATAAGAACTATCAACACAAGTGTACATACAAATCTCAGTCTGTAATTCATACACCCTTCATATACAACACACTACATATGGATATCATCTTTATTCTACAATTCTGACACAATCATTCATGCAGAAGAACACCTGTCAAGTTATCATGCATAAGCTTGGGGGATATTGTAAAATCCGGTTTACTATAACTTTGATAAAGCAATCAGCGCTAAATAGAGAAACGTCAGTTGTTTTATTTTCAATGGGAAATACAAATACCAATATAATATGGTTGAATTCTTTTATGTAGTTGGAGACGTTGTACTGTCCCCAACAGTGTAGAAGAAACCAGTCAATATCACCTTGCTATTCAAAGGTGACGACGCGCTAGAAGTAGTGAGGTGAAGACTGGAGAAGTCTGTCAAAAGGATTTATTTCGCTGATAAACTCGTTCTCCTCAGCACCACTAAAAAGGTACTAAAAAAATCAGGAAAAGACAGGACTCCAACCCTCGACACTTCTAAATGCATATCTCAACTCGAATAAACCTGCGGAAGTAAATACATTGGTCGTACGGAGAGGAGTCTGTCTACGCAAATGGTTGAGCACCTACCCAACTCGTTGAAGTATGTCGAGGAGAAGACCCCAAAGAGCTCGATAAACAAACACCTTACGGATTATGGACATGATATTGATACCTGTAAGTCCTTTACGGTTATCAGTAAACAGCAAAATAAGAAGTTGGTTGGAAGCCTGTGTGATTCCAATTGTCAAGTCAAACCTCCGTATTCAGAACCAAATGGTAGTCAACTTGAATCCTCCATGGTAAGAATTACAACATCGTCTAATGATATTCAATCTTTCTTACTGGCTCTTCGGTCTTAATTATCACCTATCTGATATTTTGTTTTCCTTACCTAATTTGTTTTGCCTAATTAATCTTATTCCTATCACCATTGTTATCATTATTATTCATCTCAATATACACCCGGTTTTCTTATTACGTCTGCATAAGTAGTACTATTAACTATCTTCTTTTCACTGACGTAATCAACGTTCAATCGATCCAGTTCTCACCCATGTGTTAATATTATTATTGTTATTATCATTATTTTCCTACTTGAAATCTACCATTATCCAAACTCAACTAACTTATCCCCAACCCATTCAATGTTGAATATCCATTTCTACCCTTTGTATTACCATTTGACCCGTAAAAACTGTTCACTTCTATGTTGCTACACCTAAATCTGTCTCAGTCTGTTATATATGTATGCATGTATGCTCTTTTCCATTGTTTAACGATACATATATAATCAAGTATGTTGAGTATCCAGCTAACGAGTACTTCTGAATTTATGAATTCACTAAATCCTGTTTTTTTTTGGCACATTCCTTGCTTGTTTTAAATTTGTATCGGGGAAACAAATGTTTTCGATATCATCTTTATTTAACAATTCTGACAATACAGAATCATTCATGTAGAAGAAGGCTCAATTGGTTTTTGCCGATTTGCGCCGCCTATGGCGCCGCCGTGATACCCGTTTGTCTACTAAGGGTCGCGTCTACTGCACAGCAGTCCGCTCTGTTCTACTGTATGGCTGTGAAACATGGCCATTGAAAGTGGAAGATATAAAAAGGCTTTAGGTGTTTGACCACCGTTGCCTTCCTAGTATAGGACGTATTGCGTGGTGTCACCACGTGAGTAATGCAGAAGTCAAGTGTAGAGTTTCAGGGAGTAGAGGTAAATCAGTAGACGAGGTTGTGAACCTTCATCGACTGAGATGGTTGGGACACGTACTACGTATGCCTAGTTGTCGATTGCCTTGTCACACAATGTTGGCTGAGGTGGGTCCAGGCTGGAAAAAGGCCCGAGGTGGCCAGACTAAAACATCGCACCAATGTATGAAATCTCTGACTGTTGGTTTAAGCCATGTGGGGCAATACACACTAGCTGGTTGGGGTCGGCGGGACAAGAGGAACCAGTGGTTGGAGACTGTAGGTGATGTGGCTGAGAACCGATGTCAGTGGTGCAGATGTATACACACATTATCCTCATCTTAACTACACTATACCGAATCTCACCATTTTGTCACTCCTCTTTCCTTTCTTCTCATGCTTTATATTTCTTTTGACTGCATTCACTTATCTTCATCCTTCACCCCACTACCTTTCTACTTGATGAACTGACGTGGGGTGTGGCAACTCGGAGTGTTACGCAGTAATGCCTGGTCCTATGTTGATAATGACTGATTGATTGAGAAGAACATTTGTCAAGTTATCGTATATAAACTTGGGAGATATTGTAAATTTCAGTTTACTATAACTTTGATAAAGCTATTCGCACTAAATAGCGAAACGTCAGATGAAACAAATTTTTATTTTACATTTATATAAGCTACAAAATAATGAAGATTACTATCAACTTACAATTCGGAGGTGGTATTGTAGACGAAATTCTTAAATACCGTCTAACAAGGTCAATAAGAAAAACATTCTGTGCCGTATCTATTCAAACCGCTAGTTGGTTTCTCTCAATGATGAAGAAATATATATCGACTGTCCAGTTCGATGTGCATTTACATGTTCTCCTGCTCTTGTAGAGCTAGGTACATAGGACGTTCATCGAGAAACGTTTCGCGTTATGTTCGTGAGAAACTCCTAGTTTGGCCGAGAGAAGGGGAAACCTAGAGACAAATATTTCATCTGTCCTCTAACCTCTAGTTGACTACAATCATGCAGCTTTCAAACCATCATTACTAACAAGGTGAAAGCAAACTTATCGAATCTTTCATGATACATAATTTTAAGTCAGAACTATGTGTACAGAGACACTTTGCGTCTTCTCTTTCACTACCTTGAACCCAACTTACTATTTCTGACTGTATGTTTCATACATCTAGCCTTTCTTTATTTTAATTTTATTCTATTTAAATTCATTATATATAAATAAGGAAGATTTGTACACAAAGAAGACTTACTAGTGACACCATCATCTGGTATTAGCTGGTGCTGTTGTTTTAAAGAAGAAGAAGAGGACTGACAGGTTAACAGAGCTCCTTGTTGTTGTAAGTGGGAATTTTTCCTTGAATTATGAAGGTTGGCAGCATAGTGGGACTGCTGTTGTTGTTGTTGCACAAACTGATGTGATTGATGATCTGTTATCAACAATGGATTCATCTGGGTATTTGATAGACCAATCGTATTTATTGAACCCGGTGGTTCACAACTCGCTTGACGAATTAAATTTCTTGTGGCAATCGAGACTGATTGTTAGAATTATTTAATAATCCAGGTGTTACATTTGGCAGAACTTTGACACCAAACATCAGTTGACCATTGGTGCAATTATTACTGGTACTATTGTGATTAGCCTCAATACCACCAAGAGTAGAGTAACCAGGACTACCTCCAACACGTGAACAATGTGAACTGTTTACAGTCGGCGAGGTAGCGAAGGCATATGGTGAGGAAGAAGGCGAAGACACTTGTTGTTGTCTATATTGATATTCTTGAGTCAAGTGAGCAGAGTTAGGATGTGTTTGATAAAAATTCGACTGTTGCTGTTGATAGTAGTGTTGTTGCTGTTGTTGTTGATGATGAGGCGAATTATTATTACTATTGTTATTATTATTATTATTATTATTATTATTGTGATAATAAGGACTCGACTGTAGTCTACAATTACTATTCGACTGGTCATAAATTGATGAAAATGGTGACGGATTCTTATTCCCCGCAAAATCAGATAAATTTAACCGTGAATAATGTTGATGCTGATTAGCAGTTAATAAATTGCCACCACTATTCACATTGTTGTTATTGTGTGAAACTAATTCACGACTAACACTACTTGAACGTCTTGGTGGATGGATTGGACGATCGCAAAGACGACCGACATGAGGATGTTGTTGATAAGCCTTGAGTTTGGAACATAAATATATCAAAATAAACAGAATTATACAATATACACAGTAAATTAGTCTATCAATTTAATGCAAACTCAGAATGATACACTTGTCTACTTTCTTTTCAAAGTAGAAACAAATGGATGGATGACATTATTTTCTCAAGATTTGCAATTATATTCATCACAGTTACTACCACATATAAACAACATTTATTATCAATTGACGGGGTTGGTATTGTATTATTTTCGAACGGAGTGTATAGAGGATATACACATGCACTATGTTTACATAATACCGATGCGATAGCCAGATAGTTCGTTGTTACATGTTGGTTGTCGTTTCCACCACCACAGTATTATGATAAGATAGTGAAACGGCATTCAACTTGTCTAACGTTTCCTTTGGAACTTAACAAATTTTTTTTTCTCGTTACTTTTCACCGGCATCATAATCCTGGGGTCACTGACACAGTAGAGAAGATTTATGGCTCAGGATGAGGATAATAAATGTATAGTTTTCTCCCATCTTTTAGGTTTGTTCTTAGACATTTCATTACTAGGCAAGGTGAAATCTTCACCATTTCCTTCATATAGAGAAGTAAGTGCTGATGAAATGTCTAAGAACAAACCTCAATACTCAGAGAACACCAAATAATTATTATTCTTGAGGTTGGTTTTAACATCAATACAGATATTTACATAGCGTCATGATTCTCAAACATCTAATCACTGAGTAGTAGAAGCATATTACAACTGTAAGGCAAACGAAATATATACACAGTCTGAGATAGAGACATTAAAGTATACAATTAGCTAAACAAACAACAGAAAAAAGCTTCATGTCAACAGCATATTTGGCATAGCTTACAGATGATGAACCACTGAAGACTTTACCACTTAGCTAGATGGTGAAGTGTAATGGTTCAGTGAAAACTGACAGTCATTCACTAGCAAAGTGAACAGAGAAAAAATGACATCAAACTAGATAAATGTGTACAAGAGAAAAAGAGATAAAAATCTGGAAAGGTTGATGATAATGATCAGAACTTCGAAGACAACAGAGAAGTATGCCTGCACCGTAGTAATTTGACTAACACTGACAAAATCAACGTAGAACCACGCACACAGCTGCACCGGGTCAAGCTGCCACATTTCATGGTTAGTACCCAAAGGACAGGAGGACAGAAAAAGACTAATATCAAAGGAGACAAGGTTGTGTGAGAGAATAAACAATCTGAAGATGAAGGTTAGTGCGAATATCGAAGCTTTAGAAGTTAAGGAGTGAATACATCTGCACCATTGTGACCGTTTGTCAACCATTTCACTAAGAGTCCTCAACCACTGATTCCTTTCATCTCGGGGACGCAGGACAGACAGTCTACATCCCTCCATACAACTCAGACTAATAATAAGAGACTTCATCTACTGGTGCCACATCTTGGTCTGGATATCCTGAACCCTCTCCCAACTTCCCCCAACATGACACACCGAGGTAGGTGGTGGCTCAGGCTCAGTATGCACAGTACATGTTCAAGCCATCTCAGTCGACTAAGGTTCAAAACCATATGGTAACCAATTTCCAGTCACATCACTAAGAGTTGTTCACTTTCAAATACTTCTATCCCGATGATATTTTCTAAAGCTGGGTTATAACACGACAAATATCACCAGTTGAACATATCTATCTAAAACTTTGCTACAATCTTCAATATCCAGAAGTGCATATCTTGAAAGCATAGAGTACTCAACTGAGATACTTATGAACAATTAACCTGGACGAAAGATGTAACGCTAGATAACAGGCCCAAGTATAAACATTTGCAGGCAAAGTGTAGAGAATAGCAAGAAAATATTGTCTATAAGAACAATGTGTTTTCTTTGTAAATTCTAATTAAAAATAAACAACTCCCCAACTTATAGTCGGTTTCAGACCGAAATCGCTCACCGTGATCTATGACCGAGCTGTGAATGTTCAGGATTCATCCTACAGTATCACATTATTCTTTGTACATAATTTATAAGCTACAATCTTGTATAAAGCTTAACTCGCAAGCAATGCAAATTAGTAAAAGAGAGGAAGAAGGAATGAGGAAAATACTGAATACAGTATAGAAGTCAACATTAAGATATAGCGCCATTGGCATCGGTTCTGACCCATATCATGAACGTGAGAACTAGGCGTACAGTTGCTTACAGATTTATTCCAATCATTGACTTAATTAAGTAGGCTACAAGTAGTATACAAACGTTTAACCACATTGCATTTCTTAGTCGATAAACATGGAAGTGCAACCGTTTGATGACTAATACAAGTTTTACTGACAAAGTCATCATTTTGTTCATAATGTCCAGTTAAGCGAAGACATTGACAAAATTCAATCTCTTGAACACCTTGAGAAGAAATTTCAATATGTTTCGTATGCATTTTAAATCTGGCAAATGTAAGATGATATTTCAAGGATGGCTAATATGGACTTCTAATTCAACGATAAGAAGTGGAGTGGTGAACTGCATCACCACGATTTCGTTAGTCAGTGACAAAATCTCAGATCGGATTCAAGATATCAGTTTGGCGTTTGGCAAAATTATGCCACTTACTGTACCAGTGAGATATCCAACTACATATGAGAAGATGATTACAGTTTACAGTACCCCAACCTATTCTCTTGCATGGCTGTGAGATACGGTCGTTTACAGTAGGAGACATGAAAAGGCTACAGATTTTTGATCAACGTTATTTTCAGAGCATCGCCTGCATGCAGTGGAATCATCGTGTAAGCAATAATGTTTAAGCCAGATACAAAGTTATAAACAAGAAAGGTAAAATAGTTGATGACACTGTGAACCTTCACTGACTAATGTGACTTAGAAATGACCATGCTGAACCACAGCTTTCTCAGTGCCAGATCAAGATATAGCGCATTGCCATGAAATCTGTTACTGTTGGTCTAAGCGATGTAGTGAGATGTAGACTTCCCAACTGAAGTCTTCAGGATTTCAGCAATCAACGGTGAGAAACTCTTGGTGGAATAACTGAAAAATGCATTTGCAATCACCTTCGGAGTTCCAGACATTTCAATAACTTTCATTTAGTTATTCCCACTCGTCTGATACACTTTCACAAACTATTATGTCATTCTTTTCTTCTTCGTCACATCCTGCTGTGGAGTGTGACAGCTTGAACTGACGCACTTTCGTAACATTTTTCACAACAAACTGTCAATCTGCTGCTAAAGTGGCTAACTCGTAATAAGCTGTGAAGTAATCATATACCTCCTTCACAGTACAAGTCTAGTTCATCTCACTAGCAAAAAGACAGTATAATGAAGAAATAATATTCTTTTCTAGTTGGTATTCATTATGGACTGACATCAGTTGAAGAAACATTGGAAACCTGGTAGCACTGAACATCTGTTCCATCTTACTATCGGACTCCTCAGCAGTGAACATCCACGACCCCGCAAACTTCAGGTTCGGTGGTCAGCACGTTATCATTGAACTATGATGAATACTAACTGGAAAAACTTCTAGATCCCCACAAACCACCAAATTCAATATTCTTTTCTTATACAGTTATACTTCCGTATTGTTCCATCGAATAATAAGTGTGTCCTAACAACAGTTGTTTGATAACAATTGATCCTTATTTACATACAGTCCTGTAATTATCTTCAAAAGAGGTTCATATCAAAGGCAGTGCATCATAATCCAATACTGCTGGAATTCAATCAATCATTATCAACATAGGACCAGGCATTACTGCGTAACGGTCCGAGTTGCCACACCTCACGTCAGTTCATCAAGTAAAAAGGTAGTGAGGTGAAGGATGAAGATAAGTGAATGCAGTCAAAAGAAATATAAAGTATGAGAAGAAAGGAAAGAGGAGTGACAAAATAGTGAGATTCGGTATAGCGTTGTTAAGATGAGGATAATGTGTGTATACATCTGCGCCACTGACTTCGGTTCTGAGCCATATCACCTAGGGTCTCCAACCACTGGTTCCTCTTGTCCCGTGGACCCCAACCACCTAGTCTGCATCGTCCTACATGGCTTAAACCAACAGTCAGAGACTTCATACATTGGTGCCTCGGGCCTTTTTCCAGCCTGAACCCACCTCAGCCAACATTGTGTGACGAGGCAATCGGTGACTAGGCATACGTAGTACGTGTCCCAACCATCTCAGTCGATGAAGGTTCACAACCTCGTCGACTGACTTACCTCTTCTCCCTAAAACTCTACACCTAACTTCTGCATTACTCACATGGTGACACCACGGAATACGTCCTATACTACGAAGGCAACGGTGGTCAAATACCTGTAACCTTCTCATGTCTTCCACTTTCAATGGCCATGTTTCACAGCCATACAGTAGAACAGAGCGGACTGCTGTGCAGTACACGCGACCCTTAATAGACAAACGAATATCACGGCGGCGCCATAGGTGGCGCAAATTGGCAAAAGCCAATCGAGCCTTTTGTATCCGTGCAGAAATCTCATCGGCAACTAACCCACCGGGTTGATCCTACTTCCCAGGTAAGTGAAGTGGTCAACACACTCAACCACTTCACTCTCTATTGTTAACCGCGGTACCGCTGAAGACCAGTCCTGGAGCAAAAATTTGCATTTGGGTGGTGAAAATCGCATCCCAAACATTCTCAAATTCCCACTCAAAGTGTTCAGAAGACTCTGCATCTTGTCAGCGTCTTCACCTAACAGGACTATGTCATCTGCATATTCTAGATCTAAGGAAAATTCACCTGTGATCGGTCAACGTCTTTGTAATTAGGTGACGAGAGGGAAACCTCCATAAGAATATCTATGATAAAATTAAATAAGAATGGGGATAGTGGGCATCCTTGACGGACACCACTTGATGAGTATAGCTCCCTGGACAACTCACCATAGGCTCTAACATGCCCACAAGTGTTCGAGTAGAGAGCTTTCAATAAGGTGATGTACTTACTAGGCACGCCTTTCAGTGACAGACACTGCCATAAGACTTCTCGATCAACGGAGTCAAATGCCGCCTTCAGGTCGAGAAATACAGCTATTGTCGGGCGTCTGTAAGCATGCCTATGTTCCAGGACCTGGCGCAGTGTGAATATTTGGTCGATACATCCACGGCCAGGTCTAAAGCCTGCCTGGTTTTCTCGGGCTTGCTGTTCCCGAGCTCCACTCAGGCGTCGGAGAATTATAGAACTTAGGATCTTAGACACTATGTTTGTCAGGCTGATTCCTCTGTGGTTATCACAAGAGGACTTCTCGCCTTTCTTGAAGACTGGGATGATCAGTGACTTAGACCAGTCGGAGGGGATCGTATTTGATTCCCATATACTGGCTAACACTTCCGTTAGCCTGACTAAGAGAACTCTACCACCATTCTTGTATACCTCAGCAGGTAGTCCGTCTGGTCCTGCTGCCCTTCCCCGTTTCAGGCTACCTACCGCTTTCTCAACTTCTTCTAGTGTTGGGGGACCTGTCTCTATGTCCCATTCAGGGTCCGACTGGATAGCGGGCAGCGCAATGGTGGCTGGAGGCCAGTTAAACTGTTCCTCAAAGTGTTCTGCCCATCGTCCCAGTCGCCTTCCCTGCGAGTGAATCGCCGATCCGTCCTTCTCCGCTATAACCTCACTAACTGTTGTTGACCATTTCCCCCCAGTCTCCTTAATAAGTCTAAATAACTGTCTACTGTTACCGATCGCCGCTGCCTTTTCCATCTCTTTAGCCTTTGCTGCCCACCACTGTTCACGATCGTTGCGCAGACTTTTCGTCAGTTTATTTTTAAGTTGCGCTCGCTCTTCATTGTACTCAGAGCCTGCAGGGATGCATTCACGTGCATCCATTAGTTTGGAAGAAGCTGCTGATATCCACTGGCTCTTTTTAGCCATTATCTTGGAGTCGGCTACAGTCTCCAGTGCTGCTTTTACAGTAGACTGAAGATGGCACCAAGCTTCTTCTGGATGAGTGACAGTCTTTTGTTCCGATAACTGCCTAGCCAACTTCTCACTGAACACGGCTTTGGTGTTTTCGTTGTCCAGCAGAACTCGTAGTGGTTTTGTTGCCAAATTTTTTCTACGTCCATTGAGACGCAGGCATATACGTGCTCGGACCAACGCATGATCGCTGTCCAAACACGTACTCCAGAAGGAGCGGCAGTCTTCCACCGATCCTCTCCAGCGATGACTAATAGCAATGTGGTCTATCTGTGTCCATCGCTGAGTCGAGCTCGGTGGACGCCAGGTCAGACAGTGCCTTTCTTTATGTCTGAAATTTGTGCTGGCTAAAAATAGGCGGTTATCTGAGCATAGTTGTAATAGGCGATCACCGTTATCTGTACGTTCAGCTGGGATTCCGAAAGTGCCACCTAAGTGCCTTTCTGCCTCACTCAGTCTACCCACCTGTGCGTTGAGGTCACCTGCAACAACCACTACGTCCGAACGTTTGGCTTTCGAGAGGAGGTTAGACAGTTTATGGTAGAACTCGTCCTTCACTTCATCCGAACTACAGTCAGTGGGTGCGTAAGCAGAGATTACAAAGAGACAACGGCGAGTCTCACTATTCCTTTTAGTTCTCACTGTGCCGTTCAGCCTCATAGCGCAGAGGCGACTATCAACTGGGATCCAGTCTAGTAGTGAGTTTTCTGCCCTGGTGCTTAATGCTATACCTACACCTGCAAGACCACGAGAGCTAGCTATCGAATCTCCAGAAACTCGAAGGGTGAATTTTGCAGATTCACCAGATTGGTCAGGAGAGGTCAGGTGAATAACCACACTTGGGTCCTGTATGCGTGTCTCACAAACACAGCACACATCCATGCCCGAGTTGCTAGAGTCTTTGCCAACGAAGCCTGTTGGCCAATTTGACGGAGGGTGCGGACATTGAAGGCTCCAATATGTAATTTGGAGCGTGGTTTAAGGAGACCAGGGACACTGTTCTGTGGACTCAGATCGTTGTCGAAGGCTGCAGAGGTAGGAGAAATTGAAGATGATGCAGCATCATTAATTAAGAGACGTGAAGGAAGATTAGAAGGTAATGATGGAGGAGGAGGATAGCAGTCAGAAGAAACTTGGGTGCTGACAGAGTTGTGAGGGCGGTTGACACTTCCCGGCTGCCCACACCGTGGAAGGCTATTTCTTCTTAAGGTACCTGAAAGAGATTTGTGTGACCGCAGAGCCCATCGGACATCTGCTTGAGGCCTGTCACACCCAGCCTTTTGAGTATGATTATTTTGAATTTTTGTATTTTTGGGGCCGGATGAGCGAAAGGAAACGACAAGTGAACCAACACCGCCGGCCCGGCAGACCGTGGGGCGTGGTGGAGTGTGTTATTTTTGGGGCCGACCTTTTCTAACCCCCCCTTCCACTGAGAAGGCAGCATCAGCTTGGCACTGCTGGTCATCCAAGGGAAACACCTTACTGCTGTCACACCCCATCCAGCTAGCAGCAGTACGACTTCGCCCTCAGACCCCCATCATAGTGTAGCAATTTACACTATAACGGTAACTGCTTTTCGTCTAACCACTACCCAACAGACCTTTCTGGTATGGTAGGACCTCGAGGGAACAAGCGTTCCACCAGCATAGCTCGTTGGGTCATTGTGATATGCAAGCCCGACCACCAAGTGAAGGTAGCAGCTATGGGTCGGGATAGATGATAACAGTAATAATAGATGGTCAGAATCAATTATCTTAGATAGTTTTTAAGGCAACAGCAACTTTAGGACGTGTGTTTCTTCCGATTCGGATATACCTCCCACTCAGTGAATGACTTCGTTCTCTTCAAGACTCAAAACCAGGACTAATTGTTGTAAACATTAGACTGCTATCCAACAGTGGCCGATAAATTAGGTTCAATTTTCAACGTGAGGTTACAAACTGATACATCGCACATGGAGTGACGTGGTGGACTACGCTCTGGTGTTTGAGGCGATTAGTGCCGGGTTCAAGTCACAGTGGGATCAGCACGACTCGCTGATAGGCAGGTACATCCAGCTGATGAGTCTCACATAGCATCAAATGCGTATCTTGGGTCGCACTACTAACCACTATCCATCAACATTAATATAAAGCTGAAAATGTTGGCAATATTGAGGCATCAGCACAGGAGACCATATATCAATATTGGCAGATCACCTCAGTCCAATCAACGACGGGAAATTGCAAGCTGATAACATCAACACCAACTCTGTTCAACATTAAGTACTTATCAAGTATCAGTAGAGTAAATCTTTTTAACGGATATATTCTTTTCTGTGCAGCCACATAAAAGATATTGCATACAAACGAACGAAAATCTAGGGGTTAGAATACAAGCTCACAATAGAGAAAAGTATCAAACTACAGACTTAAAACACATTTCTAATACATTAAGCTAACCTGGCTACTTCGACGCATTAATCCTGGTGTAACTGAAGCATAATTTGAATTTTTTGATGATGGACTTAATGGAGGGGGAGATGAACAAGTCCCTGAATTTGTCCCATCTAATGATTTCTTAAAATACTCCGACTGCCTCCGACGAAATGTTGATGTGCCAGAATTCACACACGTACTAATATAACCGCCACCAGTGTCGCATGAAGTGGACTGTGACACATCACATAAACCACTATTAGATGATGTAGACGTTGAAGTTGGATAGGGTAATTGTGTTACTGTTGTTGACTGTAATAAAAGAGATTTATTTTGGTAAGTTGACTGAATAAGTCCAGGATTCTGATCATATTCCCACAGACCGTGTACATTACCATTGTTGTTCATACCAGATACAGGTGTAATGGGATTAGAACACAATGGAAGAGAATTTTTGGATTGTGATTCGCCTCCTCCAGATGATTCTATACCTTGAGATGATTGTGATAAATCTATTCATTAGAATAAAACATTTGAATTCAACAGTGAACTATTAATAATAATTAGATGATACAAACAAAAAAAGAGTGTATTTTAAAATGATACAGTATTCTCCTTGATAGTGCTAGATTTCATTAAGAGATAATGAATTAATGCATAATTTTTAAAAAAATCCACAACAGAAAAAAATTTGCTCGTTAATTCGATAAAAGTAGTAACTTTGCACTTGTATCCCTGGATACATAGGACTAATGTTTAGTCTAGTTAACTACACACTAGATACTTATCTTGATGACTAGCAGAGGAATCCAGGACGCGTGTTTCGTCCTATTTGGAACTCAGTCAACTGGATGTATCTGCACCCCAGTAAGTGAATATTATCCCCACTGAGGCTCGAATCCAGTACACTTCGCTTCAAACGTCACAGCGTTATCCACTAAACCTCTGGGGCACAATGGCCAGGTACTTAGCTCATGACCTAATATTATTGACTCATGACTCCATCTACCAAGGTTTGTGAAGCCGGGTAGTAAATATCATTGACTCTCACATAACAGATGTGACTCTGCCTATTGTACGACTTGTGCACAAGTTCGCTTCGGACTACAATCTGTAAGTAGTATCATCTGTACGTGGAGTAAGATATTGGGTGAAGGAGACAAGTAACTTGATAAGACTGCAGACCTTCAACTGTTAGTTGAAGGGAGGCAATCGACAGGAAGCCCAGGTTTCGTGCTTCCTGGCACTCGTCAACAATGCGTGTCTGCAACCTCGACGGAGATTCGAACCCGCGTCACCCAGTGTTGTAGTCCGCGACTTTACCACTGAGCTATTTGGGCCTTCGACCAATGAAGGGGTTGAGATAAGTGATATGCACTGACTTCTAAGGTTATAAGGCTACTTCAAAGTACTGAAGTAAGAATGAGACGATAACCGATGAACAAGACATGAAAACAATTCATAAAGCTATTATTCGTAATACTAGTAGCAGTGCTAACTGATATTTTTTATCTCCTTCTAAATCCAAAAGATCTAACTATTCTACACCTTTCATATCACATCCGATTCTGCTTTTCACATCTATATCTTTTCGTTATCATCAAATGGCTTGAACATGGACTGCACATGTCGATTCACAGCCTAAAATGCAGTGCTAGTGGAAGTTGAATTGGGTTAGAATAGGATCGAGGGTGGTCAGACCAAGACGTGGCACGAGTCGATGAAGTCTTTTAATGTTGGTCTGAATCGTGTGGAGAGATGATGACTGATTGTCGGGCGTCCCCGAGACGAAAAGAATCAGTAGTTGAGAATTTTTGGTGACATGGTTGGAAACCGGCCACCGGCAGATGTACTAACTCCTTGACATCTTCTATAGCTTCGGTATTCACAGTAACTTTTATCTTCAGATTGTTTATTCTCTTGCACTTCATCTACTTTGAATATCACTATTTTTCGATCCACTTGTTCTTTTTGTACTATTATGAAGTGTAGCAACTTGAGGTGATGCAGCAAGATTCTACGTTGATTTTGTTCGTTATTTATTATCACCAATTCTTCTCTCCATTTGATAGAAAAGAAACTTACACAAACTTCGTGAAAACTGTGGATTAATATCCAGTTATAAAACAAACCTAGTCATTAATTACATTTGACCATCGCCATAACTCACAAACCGTACGTCAAGTTTCGTATAAGAAGTGATCACTCCTTACCAGAATTTACATAAATATGGTGCTAAACTGTAAACAACTGAACTCCATAATCGAATTAATTAAGAAGATATATATTTGTGAAACATTCAATTCTCTAACACGTAATAGTCAGTCATTAAAATGTATATATTGCTCAAAGTGTCTTACAACTAAAAAGACAAGTTGTCTTGTAATAACAAAATATATGAGGTAAAAGATATGCATGTCAGTTTATCAGGGCTATCCAAAACTAACTTGGGTTACAAATAAAGAAAATTGTTTCTCCATAACAAAGATAGTGAAATTAGTATTCACAAGCAACTTCTTAAGATTATATATATATATATATATATATATATATATATATATATATATATATATATATATATATATATATCACCAACTGCAAGTATGGTATATGCTTTGCACAGTAGAGGTGCAAAGTACTTTTGCAAGATTATCAGGAGCCTGTGTCTGAGCTCACCCTAGGTGGTGAGCCATTGGAAGTAGTCTAATAGTTCGTGTATCTGGGTAGTTATGTAAGTGCTGGTGGAGGTGGGAGTGATGAATTTCTTCACCGCATATCTGAGTCACCTTTGGCACCATCACGACGTTAGTCTAACCGAAAAGTTCACATTTACAACACTTCAGCTCTGTTCTATGCATGTGAAATCTGGCCTCTCCAAGCTGAGGATATGAGAAGACTGTGTGTTCAGACATCACTGTCTCTGTAGAATTTCTCGTATCCGGTGACAACACTATGTAAGTAATTCTAAGGTATGACGGTGTGTTTTGGCATGATGGAGATCGTTATTCAATAAGTGGAATCATCTGGAAACACCGGCTTCGGTGGCTCGGACATGTATTACGCATGTAGTCCCAAGGGTTTCCACTATGCCATTTATTGTTTGCTAGTCTTGGACTGGATGGAAGAAGCGGAGGGGTAGTCAATGTATGATGTGGCGCCGTGGGATGAAGGACAGTTGTATCGGGTTAGCATCTGTTGGTGCATCACGACTCCCTGAATTAGGTTCGAGAGATCACCGAACTCAGGTACTTGAGACGCTATCAGATATGGCTCAGAATTGAAACCAGCGGTGGTTGTGCTACAGCTTCCTTCTAGTTTTTGCTACTGAAAAGTAATGAACTTTTCGTTTCGAATGTACTTTAGGGGACTCTATTTCTAATCATGCGATTCTTATTGTTTTTCTTACTTGTCGAATTCCCATCGCTTATGTCTTCATAATATTATTATACTATTTTTGTGTAGCGCATTTCTTGATGCTCTTGCTGCACCATGCTTGCGTTCTAATAATAATAATACTAATGATAATAATAGACTTATTACCATCAGTGTATATTAGTTGCATGATATGCATGATATTCATAGTCAGAAGGAGTAAAATCAACTTACTAAAATCAAATTTGTTGACATCACTAGCTAAACAAGATTCTCCATTGTGGTCAATACCAGCAGTGATCGGTTGAGTCATAGCTATTTCTTCATTCAACTGCATACTGAACTTGCGACCACCATAAACGGAATCGTTAGCACCATCGGTAGTTGAATTATAATTATTATTATTGTTGTTGCTGCTGCTGCTGTTCACAACAGGAGAATTACGATTCTGAAATTTGCGAGCAGCAGCTTTCTTAAGTTCATTCAAATTTGTGTAGACTGGTCCAGGGATAGCTTGATTAGGGTACAAGATTGGTGTTTGTCGAGCTACATTTTAAAAGAATATTTTCAATACGACTAACAACTATATAAGTAGTATATAACTGTACACTAAAAAAACGTAGTTGGCTTGCAGAACAACTTTGTACACATAATACCAAAATGACTACATGAAAATGAGTTAATTACACAATTAATTAACGATTCTTTGAACAGAATATTTATAAGATTACGGCGTTTTGCAGGTAAATTTGACCTAAAAAAAATCTAGTATAAATTTCACATCATTTCCCAGCAATATAGCCAACAGACATGTTGATAACCTGTATCGAACTAAAATTCATTCACTCGATTGGCATGTTTATTGTGTTTATTTTTATCACAGTTTGATACTATGTACTACTAATTTGAGATGAAATGTATACAAGTGACTTAAAAACAGTGACTAGGTGTTTATTAATTATCGCCCAGTAAAGCGCTGCTGTTTTCTAGAAACATTGTTATATGACACCCGCGACCGAATATCAGCGAATCTATTAACAAGCGACTTCCACGAAATGGTAACTACAACAACTGAAACTATTCTGTGGCTAGACCAGTATATCTATTTATCACAGTTATTATTCGGGTTAGACGGCCAATATCTATTCAGTATCTTATGCGCTCGATTGTGACAAGTAACCAACCTCGTTTACTTCATACCCAACAAAAATGTAAGAAGTTGATGCACCATTTCTTGTAAACAAGTTTATAGCTGTGGTACTCTTCTTTTAACCGAGTTATACCAGGAGACACCGGTTGGTAACCTACCTAACCCAGTAACCACTAGAAAACATTCAAATCTGGTTAGCTTCACACTGACACAATCTAAGCATAGGTGAACATTCAAGGAGAATAAATTTGATTTTGTAACCAAAATGCACATACAACTTTCCAGCAAATCTTTACTCACTCAATACTGAAATAAAATGTCATCTCAAACGATTGACTCTCATCTCGTGTAACTCAGAGTAGTACATAAAATTAAAAAAATCAGTGATCACCTAATTTTTTTTAATGATATAAATCAAATTTATCCTATTCAGTCTACCCATACTGCGTAAACTTTCTCAAAAGCAGATCATTGAGCAAAAGAGAATATAAAAAACAAAATAATTAGATACGCCTTCCAACAAACCCGAAAACGAAATTCAGGGTTTCTCATCAATTGCTTCCGACCAACTAACATCGGATTAAATAATGTATTCAGTATGTGCTATATATCGGCTGAGTCGCTTCAGTTTAAAATCTTGTCAATATATCGTCATATAACTTTGAAGAGCAACGTTTCATTACTGAAAACATTATCAATAGTATAATTCCCCTTAGAATCCTCTTTCTCTCTCTACCCCACGCCCCCACCCCCACCCCCACCGCCCCAAGGAGAGGTTACTCATATGTGAACAACGTATGATCTATATTTACACGTTTCGAATTGAGTAAGTATTTGAAGCGTTATTTCATGTAACCACATCAGTAACAATCAATTCAATTAGAATACTTGAAATGATACAGTAAAGTGATTGTTTAATTTACTATGTAGGAGGGATTTAAAATTGGCTCCCATCTATATTCCCGAAGTCTTCAAGAGAGCTTAGTGGTTCCTTTATGGGTGAAAAGTCACTTTTATCACTGTAAGGTGTTTATACATACATACACATACACACACCTAGATAAGATAAGCAACTAGATTTCAGAGGCTAAAGGTAACATCTGACCCCAGAAAATCATAGACATCAATTGTAGCAAACCAAAGTGTAAATTTGATAAAGAATGTGGCCAGATAAAGACACCACATTCATTCATGAAGTCTCTGGCGGTCAGTCCGAGTCAAACAATGGATAGTGTAGGCTTTCTTATGGAAAGTTGCGAAATGCCAAAAACTTATGGTTGGAATCTATTTCATGGTTTTCTAAGACTTTTGACCATACTATTTCCGTTCATTTTTTTTCTTGTCATATAAATCTTGATTTGGTCCTGTTAGGTTCAATGTAGATGACTTGCTGACTTCTGAAGGAAGAAGACAAATCAAGAACCATAAGAAGAAACCATAAATAGAACGCATTATAGAGAAACAAAAGTGTCTAAGAAAATCAGTAAAATTAACAAAGGAAAACTTTTCAAAATAGAAATAAGAGCTTACATTTATTTGAATCTTGACTACTGTGATCTAACTTCTCATCATCTGTTTCCCCATCTTCAGTATCTTCCGTTGTTGTACCACCGCCTCCACCACAAGATCTATCACCAGCATTACCATTACTTGTATTCTCATGAGTGCCAATACGACCATCATCATCATCTTCTAGATTTCCACTATCTGGAAGAAATCCAACCATGATATTGTTTCGACTCACTGAACTGCCGGTGTGCATTTTGACTTCACTAGAGTTTGCATCCTTATTAATTAGACCAGGTAATGGAATCCAATCTGATGGGAGTAAAACCACATTAACAACGCAAACACAAAAATATTATTGCATTTCCGAGAGGAATGAAGATTTTTAATTTAGAAGCAGTATTCATCATGGACTGACATCAGTTGAGGAACTATTGAAAATCTGGGAGCATTGGACAGGTGTTTCGTCCGCCGTGAAACCTGAAGGTCCTGAGTTCGACCCCTAGCCAGGTAGTGGGTGCGTACTGCTGAGGAGTCCCATACTAGGACGAAACAGCTGTCCAGTGCTCCCAGATTTTCAATGGTTCCCCAACTGATGTCAGTCCACGATGAATACTACAAAAATATTATTCAAACAGTCGAAAGGTAGATAAAATGTTACTTTAGGGAAAGATAGGTGGTTGAATAAAATTTTGTTTGTATGAAATTCAAGGATGGTATGCCCCACTTCCTGGTAGATTATCAAACTCACTGGTGGACAGACACTGGAAACATAGAATTCAGCATAAAACAACAAAAATCGACCTTGCCCCAGTTTACACCAGAATATCAAAACATAAGTTAGTAAGATATAAAAAAAAAAAGGAAAGGAATAAAAATTTTAATGTTACAATTAGACAAAGATTCTAAAGCCAAAAGTGTCATTAAATACTTTTAACAACTGACTGACTGAAATAATATTTAAAATGAAAAAACAACGAGACGATATGGTTCAACAAATTATCAAATGTGTGAACATCACAGTAATGATAATAATAATAATAATAACAAACCAATGACTGACATATACGGAAAGGAAATATTTAGGATTGCGAATGAATAAATCGCTTAAGCGCAGCTGGTGATAGTAAGTTACAAGTAGCTTTATTACTCAATTTCTTTAAACACTAAGTTCTACCATCTTTATTAACTAACTATTAGCGTAGTAGATGCAAAACAAATACACTTTGATCAATGGTCAATGATTTATTGTATAAGGTGCATTTTTACTTGTGTAATCTCGGTGCAGTAATATTAGAACAAATAACAATGACTTCATGTTTCCTTATGTAATCATTTAAAGGACCATTCTCCTACAATTAGATTCTTAAATTTCAAAGTAATTGACTACTGGATTTGAACAAGACATTTTTGAATAATCTCCTCTAGTGAAAATCATAGTTAACATTAGTGAAAAATGTCTTTCAAAGATAAAGGTGTATTTAAAGTAACAAAAAAAATCATGAACAGAGAAAAGATAGAACTGAAGAGAACTGTAAATAAGCTGCTATAGAATTCATACTGGAATTTCAATACTGAACTTCTAAACAAACATTAAATAGTGTGAAACTAAGAGCACAAGCTACACGTAAAATCCTGGAGTGATAACACGAGATTTTTCCAAAATACTGTAGTATATTACCAGCAAAAATAATGAATACTGAGATTACAAATCATGAAGTATTTAGGTACCAATCACACTATTAAAGTACCATCTAAGAAATTTGTCTATAGAAAGGGAATAAACAAGGTTAAGCTACACGGCAGTCAAAGCATAGTCGAGAGTGAAAGACGCACGAAGACTCAGCATAAACATAGAGGATTAGAAGAAAAGAAAAGTTCAAAGAATTTGGCATTTGTGAAGCGAACTGTACGAGGTTAAATAAAAGTAGAAATAACAGAAATATAACGAGAACTTGTACATTTGCAAGTACAACACAATACTACTTACTGTTAGTAAGTAGTACGTGAGTAAAAGCATAAACATTGCAATGGTAACTTCGAAGCGGAGCGAAAATCAGGTAGTATAAACAAATTCACCACTTAGGAAATGGTTCTGTTTAACTCCTTTGCATTACGCCAAAGAATCACTTTAATGATCATCTAACAAGAAAATATCATGAAGGAAGGTTATTCCACTTAGCATTAACTCCAACAATGGGAGACTAAAATGTATATCTTAGAAGCAGAATACGTCTTCACAGCAATTTACTCGAAAAACTACCTACAATTTAACCACTAAAGCTAGATTTCAAAGGCCATACTTGCTGAAAAATTCAGTAATATCTGTATTTGTATACATCATCTAAAAGTGGTATTTGAATCCACCGATCAAAGAGGTCCCAACTGAAAGGAATCCCTAATAAATAGGTTACTTTAAGGAGATATTCATTTCTGTCTTAGAGTTCCTGATGACTCACCCTCTGAGATGGTTTGAGTTCACTTTTTTTATCTCATAACATGCATACTTATGGAGTAGTTCATACTTTCTTCTTCTGACTTCACAAAGAATAGTTAAGTCGGAGATTCTTTATTCGACTACAATTATACAAATGAAACCGTTTTATGAACACTGAAAATGCTTGGTGTGTCAGTCAGACCACAAATCTATGCGACTGACTAAAAACTGACCTACATCGATGCTTGTTTTGGCAATAAAGAGTTAAGTGGTCGAGTGTAGACACCCAGAGGTTTGATGGTCAATAGAATCTCAGAACAGTTACAAAAGGTTTGAACAGATATCAACTTAGACAGGTTATAGCATAGGAGAGATGATGGCATGGTAAATAAGTGGCAATGTATTTGGTGTGACCAAGTAATACTGGCTATAGGATTTCTTTCAATTAACGAGTCATGAGTTAAGAATTGGGTGTTATACGCCTACAACACTTTGACACATGACAATAGATACTGATCAATGAAAATGCTAAAACCAGCTGAAAATACAGCTGTTGATATAATTATTTTACTAGATCAATAATTGGAAGTTTAATAAAGGAATATTGGTTCTTTCAGATACTGGTTAGTAATGGATCAATAAAATAAGAATGATCGAGATTAAGTACGAATATTTAAACTACATTTTGCATAGAAAACATTAACCAAACACAGAAATGTTGTGTTCAAAGACATTGTCTCGAAACAACTAGCAATTGATAAAATCCTACGTTGTTTTTATCGCTATTTTCAAAAAGTCAATTATATCCAGCCATTGAATGTCATAATGTATTTTAGAAACTTCTGATGTGTCGATAATCTCTGATCCCTAAAAAGCATATAGAGAAATGATTGAACTTTTAGATAGAAATGTCAAGTTTTTTTTAGCCTTATTGTACTATATTATGTAAATTGGCCATCTTACCTATATCTCGAATATCAACAATCACAAAAGTCAAATATTTACAGCTTGTTTATACATTTTCATAGACTATCAATATCCGGAATAATGTTTCATTACTGCTGGGATGATGTATACACTAAAAGAGGTCACAAAGTAAGGACAGTAATTAGTCTTAGTTAGTTGTAAACTGGTAAGGTGGATAACTTCTGTGTATGACAACGTTATTAGGTTGCAACATGTTCAGTTTCTGAGTAAAAATGAGTAGATTAACCGCCTTCAGATGAATGAAACCTATTAATCCTACATTGATAGCTATCTAAAGTTATAGTTCAGGACATGTTAATTCAACTATCTTATTACTTATTTTTCAAACATATGAGTCGTTAATTTTCTTTGTCAAGATTAGTATATACAAAACCAAATACTTTTTTATGTTTATACATCAGTTCACTGGTTAATGCAATTAGACTATGCATAGCTTATATTTTACTAGTATATTATTCAGCAGTTACTTCTGATCCTCAAGTAGATGAGCCACCTAGAAGATATTCTATACATATGCATGTGGTCCCCGCCAAGACTCAGACCCATGACCAACTACTTAAAACCCCAGGGCGTCAACTGTAAGGCCAGTGATTTACGATAAACACTTCTTTTACGATGAGTACAGTTTGTCAGGTTATTGCTTGTAATTTCTAGTCATTGATTGGACTGAATTCGTCGGTCACTATTGGTATATGATCTCTGATGCGAATGCCTTGATACAATCAATATTTTTCCGTTTTCATATTAATGATGGATACTAGCTAACAGTGGGGTTTAGAACGCACATTTCATCCTATTTGGAACTCGTCAGCTAGATGTACCTGCATCCCGACCAGTGACGTTGTTCTTACTAGGGTGCGAATATCAAAGTTAAAAATACAGGCAATATGTAAACATTCGCATAGATGCCCCCATATGCTAACAGTGGACGATCAAAATAAAGGCCAATACGTATATATGATCGAAACTACAATTACATGTTCCGCTGGTGAGCATGTAGCCATTCACTCCACTGGTTCGTATCCAATGATTGATATTCTTTAAATATGATGTACATTTGACTGCAAATAAATGCAAACATGAGAAAGTTGGACCATTACACCCATTTCCCTTTGACTAATTAGAAGGTATCTGTAATCATTCTGGGATTAGCCATCGTGATAGTACACAGGATCATGCAACAAACTGTGAGGAGTGAGAAGATGGACATACGCTGGCTGCACCGATGAAAAGACCACAGAAGAAGATTTGGATATCACTGCCGATGATGATTTATGTCTAATGTTTTGTCACAAAAACTAGAAAATCTACAGGCAAAAACTAACAAGCTGACAGAAGAGGCAGGGCAGCGGAAGACGGGACTTCCTGCACGTGAACATGGAGAAGACAGACGTGATGAAGACATCCAACCAACAACAACAATCAGAAGCACCAATCACCATCAACGGGAGAAATCTACAGGAAGTAGCCTTTTTCACCTACCTAGGCTGCATCATCTCAACTACAGATATGTGCACAGATGAGGATGTCAAAACTAGGATCGGAAAGATAGGCCTTCATTAATCTGAAATCAGTGAGGAGATTTACTGCACTCAGCACAAAGAACAAGATCCGGAGTTTTAACACCAATGTCAAGTCAGTGCTTCTATGTGATGGTTTAGAAACTTGACACGTCACGAAAAGCACTTCCAACAAACTACAGACATTCATCAACAGCTGCTACGCTAGCTCAATACTGGAGATCAGATCAGATGGTCAGATTAATAAGAATAAGCAACAAGGAACTCTGGCTGGCTGTCAACGAACCAACCGACAAGCAATCGACCAAAGAATAAGCAGTGGAAGAAAGTGGAGATGGATTGGATTGGACATACACTGAGAAGACCGT